TTTTAAATAGAACACATAAATGGTGACATATATCTATTTATTTGTCGCTTTAAAACTTTCATTATTATTATATCATTATTCAGGGGTCTTCTTTGACCAGCCAGCTGCCACCACTTTTAAACACACTTCACGACGCATCCATTGTCTTTTCTTTAGCTTTTGCAGACACCTCACTTGCTTCAGCAATTGAAGAACTACAAGGTATAGCAAAATCCTGCAAGGCCTCAACTGTAGTAACGGGATCCATGGCGAAGCTCGTCGAGACGCTTTGTTGTTATTTTCATTGTGTTGGGCAGATGCGCCAACAAAATATCCCAGTGACATGAACCGTCTCTTTGTTATGCTGGACGGACCGTGTGTGCCAAACACGCTTGGAGGAAAGTTCCCAGTGTGCTGCCACCTTAAAGATGCTACCAATGAAACTCAGAATTGGAGATACTTCTATAGATTCCAACTTGTTTAGATAATACAACAATGGGCCTTAACGTTTCCCTATTTGGAATATGTAATTTTGTTTTTACTTTTGCTTTTTGCAGTACAACATCATTAAAAATCATTTAAATTCCTTAAAATCTCTCTTAAATGGAATCTGTTCATTGATATCAAAAACCATTTTCTCCTGGCAACCCCTACTTTCTACCCACCACCCAAATAAGATAAGAAAATAATCAAAAACTACAGCAATCATCCGAGAAAAAAAAATTATGAAAGGAACCAATGTCCCATTCCAAAAATGTCACTCCACCAGAAACTCCTAGCAACTACAGTACAGCTCTAATATTCCAGAAGGACCAGATACAGCACTGCTACAATCAGTGGCGTGTCGTGAAAAAAGTGCTAGGTTAAGCAAATGACACTGTTAATTAAATTATACTACTGTACTGTACTATGAGACTCGTAGTCTACAAAATTGTGAAACAGCAAAAATGTTAGAAAATAAATAGTCATTTTTCATTCATCTTTAAACTTCATTTATAGCACTGATGAGGCATTTGTATAAGTTTTTATTAGACAATTAGCAAAAGTCAGTACAGGGTACATATAACTTATTTTAGATTTATTCCCAATGAAATAAATTATTTTGCACCAGTTACGACAATGGAAAAATTAAATATCTAAATTATTTGAAACAAATACAGGTATATAATGTATTTTAAAAAATCTTGCCTGTGAATTTACAGTTATAAATTCATGACTGATCTGATAATAGCTGCAGTGTTGTCGGCAGTGATCTGTAAGGGATACTGTACTGTAGTAGTAGTAGGGGAAGGACAACCAGGAGTGCGCTGTGATTTCTAGCAAAAGGAATTCTGCTCATTGATATAAGAACATATATTATCGGGGGGAAATTCCAGCATCAAAATGCTTTCTACAACACATTATTTATTTATTTTTATTTTTTTTATGGGGAATAGCCCACCCTGTCACAGGTCATCGACCCACAACGGGACCTGGCCGGTGAAAAAAATAAGAGTAAAAAGAAATTAAAAATAGAAGAGAAAAAGACCAAATTAATCTACACAACGAAGATGCCAGAAAACAGCTTTTTGAAGTGAGACAGATTGTGTGAGACAGATTGTATGAGAATGGAAAAAAGAAGAAGGCAGAGCATTCCATAGTTTGGCTGTGTGAGGAAAGAAAGATGTAGTATAACGGGTTATTCTAGTGTCACCGACATCCACAGAGAAACGGTGGGCACCGCGGGCAAGAAGGGTGTTACGAGCCCAGGCCTTGCCGGTGGTTCACAGGATGCCAAATCCACCAAACATTGCTCGTTAAAGTACCTGTAAAAGAGAGTGAAGCAACATTGCGGCGAAGAGAAAGGGAAGAAAGATTATCAACTAAAGAAGGAGAGTTAATAAGACGGAATGCCTTTGATTCCACCCTATCTAACAGTTGAACAGAAGAAGAGCCACCCCAGATATGAGAGTGTACTCCAAGTTAGGATGAATGAATCCCTTATAAGCTTGAAGCAACTGCTCAGGAGTGAAGTAGCTACAGCATCTGTACAGCATTCCCAGCTTTTGGAGGCCGTTTTAGCAATGTTGTGGATGAGTGGCTTCCATGACATATTAGAGGAACAGATTTTCAAGTGGCAATCACTCCTGTCTTGCTAGTTTCAAAAGTTCAGACTCCTACTACAGAGGTTTAAATTCATTGAGACTTAAATAAAAAAAATACAGAATGCTATACAGAATTAAATACCACTGCAGGTAGCAGATAATAGGCAGCTATCAAACAGGGAGGTACTACCGCCTGGGAAAATATTGGAAGCATAATGTTATGTCAAATAGTAGACCCTGCTGCCATATGGCAACACAAAAATTGTGACCAAGTCCCAGGTTGCTGATCTGACTTTCTGCCTCATTTACACACAATTGCAGGGTCTCAACTGTTTCTCTTACTATTGACAACACAACATACTGTACATAAATTGTTTCTTACTATTGATCTTTTTTCTTCTTTTTTATTTATTTATTTATGGTCCTTTATTATTATTATTATTAATATATTTTTATTTAATATATTTAAAAATATATATTATTTTTTTATAATCTTTTATTAATTATTATTATTATTATATTTTCACCCCCAGGCCCTGATGTGGGTCATTGACCTGTGCCCTGGTGGGCTAATCCCGTAATAAAAAAAATAAAAAAAATAAATAAATAAATAAACAAAAAGAAACATCTTTAATTTTGAATGGAAATATTTTATAGGGTAAGCAATGCTTACCTTGCTTCTTAGGAATACCCTGTACTTGCCACAATACAGTATATTTATTGTCCATAAAATGAACCAAACTAATCTTCCTATCCTATCCTAACCTAACCTAGCATACCCAAACAAAGTGGTTATTTGTCCAGTCATGGACCTTTACTTACTTTTGCTACTTATCACAAGCAAACATGCTGAGGTTAGGTTAGGTTTGCAAGTGACTGAATTCAGTAATCTAGAATAAGAATCACCTCCTTCAATCAATCATTACGAATGCTGTACACATAGTGGAAGTAATTACTGTATAGTAAAGGTTAGTGCTTAACCTTAACTCCAAGCTATACTGTACTCTATTTTAATCGTCTAAATAAAAAGTAAGTACCATAATGGATATAGGTACAGCAGCCATATTGACGGACAGTGCTGTTAATGGTAAGGTTAGGTTAATCGGAAAGAAGGCCATCTCAGTAACTATCATTGTATAATCTGCTAACCATGCAAGCACATTAGGCTGCTGTACTAAAAGACATCGACGTTTTTCATATGGCTGCCAAACCTATATCCTGTGCCAAAAATAATTCTTTCTCTGAGAGGAACCTTCAACAAACTCATGGAAACAAACTTGATGATTGTTGTTTTGCAGCATTACATCTGTATATTGTAAATGGAAAAAAATTGGCTAATATTGATGACTAACCCACTTATGCTTTATTTGTTTTGATGTTTATATTCTAACTATATTTCCATCAGAGAGTTCTGATATAATAATTTTTTAGAAACTGCTTCATTTGGTAAATAATTAGGTGACTAGGCATGCACTACTTTGTCTTTCTCAGTGGTAATACAGCCAATAAGGAGCAACCCTGCCTATCACATTGATGGCTTCAATTGACACCAGTGTATGGTTTTAGGCTGCCCAGTTTGGGCGGTTGTTCTCACATCCACAAATAACATAAAATTACACCATAACTGTCAGTTCTTTCTGTTTAATGTGCCGTGGGGCTCCGGAGGGTGGAGCCCCACGGCTAAGAACTTAGGTAAGGTTAGGTAGGTTTCTTTGGTTAGGTTGGCGAGGTCTTCTAATAACACTTCTGCCGCTTGTTTTCTTCTCAACTAAGGTTAGGTTAAGTTTAATTTTGAAATAATCACTTTTTAACACATTTGCCAAAAATATAGTAAGAAATGACACATCAAAACAATTAACGCGTCTGCGGGTCAGTCATCAATATTAGCCACCAAAAAATTAAGACAGTGTCCACTATACAATACAGTGAAATTGTGGCATTTTTAAAATAGTTTTCTATGTAATATCAGCAGCGGGTAAGTCATCAAAAATTACCAAAAAATCTTTCAGTAAATTCCTTGTCCAATTTTGGTAATTTTCACTGGGTAGGAAACCTATTATTTTTAGGCAGTGGATACACGTATTTTGCCGTGACCGATTAAGTTCGTACTAATGCTATTTTACCGTGATTGTGCTCTGATTGACTAATGGTCCATTACAGGTGAACAGGTCGAGAACTATAGTTGACCGTGACTGGCGGCACTTGGCATTTATTTTGCCATGAGTCGATCATTGCGTAGCTATAAACATACCAAACCAGAAGTTGTTCGATTTTGTTCATTTTTTCCACAGATTTTCTTACCATTATAAAGGATGCAACATTTAAGAGAACCTGGCCTAACCAACCAAAGAAACCTACCTAACCTTACCTAACTTCCTAGCTATGGGGGCAGATCCCCCCCCCCGTCATATTAAACAAAAAGTACTTAGCCAATCACAGTACACTCACGGTAAAATAACATCAGTAGGAACTTAGCCGGTCACGGCAATATATCCACTACATTATTTTTATGGAGTAATTTCAAGTTCAGGAGCACAACCATAATTAAGTATTACCAAATTAGATATAGGTACATGATGGTATTTTATCAATCACAAATTCCAAAGGTTCAATGGAAATTAAGGTGGTTGAAATGTTGTAATATATAACAAAGGTAGCAATACATTCTTAATCTAGCATAAGCTAAATCAGAATATTCATTATCATCAATTTCCTATCCAAGGTTCCAAGACCGAGTTTTTACAAAGAAAATACCGCCCTTGTGATAAATTCATTATCGCTCATTGCAAATATAGTTTGGTCTAAATTACTTGCACGAATAGGAAAGATAATGTCTTGTATGAGTTACAGCTCCGTTAACACCCACGAGACTGACCAAGCTCTACTATTTATCAGTCTATGGGCCAACTCACACATATGTCAACTTTTACTACATACATCCTTAACGACATAGAGTAAGACAGCTCTCAGTACATCAAGGCTGAATGATCATGTTCTTCCCTGAAACGCGAGAGTTGGTCCTGAGTGCCAAGAGGTCCAGCAACCACCTCCCGGTATAAAGTAGCCACATTTTAACACTTAATGGTGGTGTTTAATCATGTATGAGTAACCTTGCTCCCTCAACCTGTCACTCGTCTCATGTTGTTTTGTTGTCCTCCTCCCCCCCCAACGTATCATTCCGCCGTTATCTAGTGCCTCTCCGCTAACACCAACTCCTCCACACCTACTCTTCTGGGCTTTCTCATTACAAACTGATGGCTACTTTCTATTTGCTCTACTCACCTCACGTAGGCTAACCGAGAAGAACGGGAGATTATACACGAAATAACAAATAGTCCTCTTTGTTTGGTACGAGTCGCTGAAGCAATGGCGGTTCTACGTTCTAACACATGACGTCATACACCCAGTCCTAGACGCAATAAGGCGGGACGTTTAAACACAGAGATTAGTGACGAACTAATATAGGAGATTTAAAGCTGATATTCCAATTATTCAGGTCCAAAATACCAGAATTTGTATAAGTTTAAAAAAACGTATACAAGCTCTTTAGGTTGAAATATATAATATAAATATACCTGTATCACGAAACGTCGTGATCATAGGACTCATGACTTTGTCAGCTGTCCTTGGTCAAATTGACCGAAATCAATTATTATTATTATTACCTAAACTGTGGTTTATAATTAGATAAAATAAAATACTGAACATATTTCAATACATTCAAGATTCTAGTTAGATATATGAGGCCAATAACCTTTCCAATAAATGCTTCACAGTCTCTCTCCAACTTGTATTTAATAGGACTCATAGCCATAACCATGAGCAAAAGGCTCTCAGTGACTGTAAAATTACTTATATGAATCATATACTGTATTTAAGCACGGCGATCGCCATTCAAAGAATAAACATAGGCCAGTGAGCCTTACCCAGGGAGCTTTTTTCAGCCTTTCATGGGGTACGCTGTCGAAAAAGCCTTGGCAATGTTCAGATGTAGTGTATATTGTCGATATTTCAACCATATTCCAGAATTTGAGTACAAGCATCCAACATCTTAAATAATTGCGTCAACAGGTGCGTCCCGGTGTAGCGGACCAGTTGCCCTGTCCGGGGAACTTCTGGTCCGCTACACCGGGCCGGGGATTGTACCTACGACTGACGTTGTTTGTTTGTTTCATCGATGACATGCCTGACGTAGTACACTCCTCCATACAAATGTTTGCCGATGACGCCAAGTTATTTCGGGAAATCAAGAACCAAGCGGACTGTGAAGAGCTGCAGAAGGACCGCTATGGGCCCCTAGAATGGTCGAAGAATGGCTGCTGTCACGAAGTGTAAGAGGATGCACCTGGGGCGTACCAACGGTAAGGAGGCGTATCATATGTCCCAGCGGGATGAAGAAAGTGCACTATTTGAGACTGAATGTGAGAAGGACCTAGGTGTGTATGTTGACAATGAGCTGAAGTTCTCGGGCCATTGTGAGAAGGTAACCCAGACATATAAATTATTTGGTCTTATAAGAAGGTCGTTCAGATATCTAGACGGTCCGTCCCTCGTAATGATCTTCAAGAGTAAAGTGCTTCCCAATCTGGAGTACTGTCACCCCGTCTGGTCCCCGAGATATGCTAGGGGCTGTCAGTTGGTTGAAAGTGTTCAAAGGAGGGCCACCAGACTGGTGCCTGCACTTCGGCACCTCAGCTACCCTGAGAGATTGGAGAGCCTGAACTTGCCTAGCTTAAACTACAGACAGGCAAGGAGGGACCTAATTGAGGAGTATAAGCATCTCAAGGGGCACTACTCAGTCGAGTGTTCTTATTTGGAGCTGGCGGACGCTCGCCCCACACGGGGTCACAGCTCAAGATTGAAGAAGCCGCAAGTCCAGAAAACTGTGAGGGCAAACTTTTTCGGAGTGAGGGTTGTGAACTCTCGGAACAATCTACCAGAGAGTGTTGTGTCGGCATCGAGTGTGAGCTCTTTTAAGACAAGACTTGCCCAACACTGGAGCAGGTTCAGGTACATTCAGGAGCCGGTGCATTCCCAGTACTTGCCAACAGTGCATAACTGAGACTTGACCAATCGCCCAAGCGGCTAACGAGCCGATCACTGGTGAAGAGGATAAAAAACAAACAAAAAAACAAGTGTGTGTGATTTTTATCAGAACATTCAAACATGTAATGTATTTCGGCCTTATCCACCATGAATTATATATATTTTGAAGACTTAAAGCTGAAACTTAGTTTTTTATTACTGCTTCCTATTTTTGTAAACATCATGAGTATTAGGTCTACCTGCCCGCTTGCTTATGATGTTTTCTTAACTTAGATTTATCGACCACCTAACTTAGGTGACCTAAGTGCCTTATTTATGTTATTTCATGTACTGTACAACATGGTATTGCCTTTTCTTTTATTTAAGGAACATCATAGTTCGTGAATAAATAAATAGATAAATATATAAGCAGACAATCATGTGCAAGGAATAAAAATGTATATAGCTTATGACAGGAGTCTACGCTAAAAACAAGCTCGTTCTCTAGATAACTCGTTTTCTATGTCCTTAAATATTTTTTGGTAAAATTAAATCAAGAGATGGCGGAGCAGTCAGGAGCTGAACGTTAATTGAATGTAGTACAAGTTTCTCTATACAGTATATTCCTTCCTTGGTATAACACACCATTGTGACGTCACAAGCAACCCATTTGCCTGAGTGAGCAGTGGCGTAGCTAGTGTGTGCCGCCCGGGGCGGCCCTTGAGTTTGCCCCCCCCCCGTGCCCCCACAAAAAATACATATTGCACAGTGACTCACTCATATATATATATATATATATATATATATATATATATATATATATATATATATATATATATATATATATATATATATATATATTAAATAGTTTGTGTACCATTATAATATTACTGTACTTTCACATACTCAAATATAGTATGCTTTAAATACACACCAAACATACTTAAACTTTATAAGTAACAGTTAAACAAAAAGCAAAAACGACATATAGGATAGGGAAAAAAGTAAAAAAGTGTAAAAAATTAGGACCATCTTTATTTCTGAAATGAAAACTACAACTTTCTACAAAGTAACTTTTCTTGTTTTTTTGTTGGCAAATTCTTCAATGACATTGTCAAAAACTATTTCATCTGTCAATTGTCGCTCTATAGACAGTATGGCAAGATTTCTCAACCGCAAGGTGCTCATAGTAGATCTTAAGTAATTCTTGATCAGTTTTAGTTTCGAAAAACTCCTCTCACAGGTAGCAACACTAACAGCAATTGTGAGGAAAATCCTCAGCATTATTACTATATTTGGAACCGAGTTCCCAAGGTTATACTTTTGAATAAACTGCAAAAGTTCAAGGGGGCCTTCTTTCCACGTCTGTATTCTGTCTTTAATAGTTATAGCAGCAACAGCAACAAAATGCTGAAGTCTTTTTCTCTCAACGAGGAACTCCTCTTTATCAATGTCGCAGCAAAAGTCACATCAATATTTTTTAACCAATACTTTAATATTTCTTACCTTATAGTATTATGTCTTCCAACGAAGTAAATAACTGGATCGAAAACACAAGAGAACTTAAAAGTCGTCTAGCCTCCCCTCGTCTTGTCACGATGGAAACTTGTGGATTGGTCGGCTGTACATGAACTGATATGACCCGAGACTGCATGGTTTTGCAGCTACTGGAGACGTTAATCCTTCCCTTTGTATCGGCGGCAAGTTAATCCTCGTCGTATCTGACCTAACACCTGACCCACACCACATGAGCTCACTGGCGTACTTGTTTGAAGTTGTTTCCTTAATCCTCAACAGGTTACAGGTTGTGTGTGTGGCGGGGGGCGCATAGCAAGGGTGTAGCTCATGACGTGGCCGTGATGATGTGGGTCAGGTGTTAGGTCAGACACGACAAGGATTAACTTGCCGCCGATACAAAGGGATGGATTAACGTCTCCAGTAGCTGCAGATATGGGTGATGAGCAGACCCAAAAGTGCCGCCCCCCAAAAGAGACTGGACCGCCCCAGCTACGCTAGTGGCAGTGAGAATCTCGACCTCGGAATCGAACCCAGAAGGTAATACAGAGTGGCACGTACACTCGGCGACAGTATACCAGTTAAACTGTTATTTTAGAAATAATATGATGCTGAATTACGTCTAACAACCTCAAAAATTGGTCTTGACAATCGTTTCAGAATCATTAATAGAACAAGCAGCTGTTACTGCACAAATCCTTGATATAATTCCAACAAATATTGTTTCCTATAAAACCCTCAGCCATGACATTCTTATCTAATCCTCTTCGAGCTTTACAGTAAGGAAAGTGGAAGGCAGCAGAGAGAAGTGCTGTCTATATTGTCTACAATGGCCAGAAAGAATCTAGACAAGTATGAATTACTGTACCAGGACTGCACTCTAGCGATGTTGTAGTGGAGGCCTCCCCTACAAACGCCGTGTGTCTTGACTGGCCAACCCCCTGCGAATCTGCCGGCGTATCCCCGGCACGAATATCAAATTGTGGTGCGACGTATCCTGTGGGCAGCCTAGACCGTTCGTGCCTCACGTCCACCGCCGTGCTATTTTCGACCGCATCCATGGTCTCAGCCACCCGGGTGTGCGGGCCTCCCAGCGCCTCCTCACGCAACGTGTCGTCTGGCCTGGCATCAAGACCGATACTAAGAAATGGGCTGCCCAGTGCCTGGCCTGCCAGTCCTCCAAAATACCTCGTCACACACGGGTCCCTTTAGAAACCTTCCCTATACCCAAAGGACGTTTCCAAGTAGTGCACCTCGACATAGTGGGACCTCTTCCATCATCCTGTGGTAGCACCTACATCTTCACCTGCATCGACCATTTCACCAGGTGGACAGAAGCCATCCCCATGCCCAATGCTACAGCAGTCTACCATCAGCGCCTTCATGTCCGGCTGGGTTTCCCGCTTCGGCCCCCCACTAGAAATCACTGACCGAGGAGCCCAGTGTGAATCGCAACTCTGGCACAGCCTCCTACAGTTCCTCGGCACGACTAGGCAACGCACCACCGCATACCACCCTCAATCCAACGGCATGGTAGAGCGGTTTCACCAGCAGCTGAAGGACGCACTCAAAGCACAGCACGACCCTTACAGCTGGACGGATGCGCTACCCTTGGTGCTCCTCGGCATCCGTGTGTCACACAAGGAGGATATGGACTGTAGCCCAGCAGATATCACCCTAGGCGAGCCCCTTTGCCTACCCGGGGATTTCTCACTCCCTCCTGACCTGCACCAAACCACTCCTGCCGTCCGTCACGACTTACTCCAAAAGCTACGACAAGCAGTTTCTGCATTCAGAGCTACTGCTCCATGCCAGCCTCCTCGTCGCCCTGAACACATCCGTCCTGCACTACTCACAGCCGAGCATGTTTTCGTCAGGCATGATGCTCACCGCAACCCACTACAACGCCCCTACGATGGACCCTTCCAGGTTGTGACCCGTTCAGCGAAGTTCCTGACGATTATCCGGAATGGCAGACACGAGACCGTCAGCATAGACAGAGTCAAGCCGGCCACCTTACCCGTTGAGCCCCCGACCCAGCAGCACCACCAACAAACGACGCCTGCACCAGTCTACCCGCAGTTGCCACCGGCAGCAACACCCCCGCCCACGACATTTTTGGGCACCCTCTTTTCACCCTCAGGTGCCCCCTGCTCCTGTCCTGGACCCTGCTGCCGTGGTAGAACCTGCTCCTATCATAGACCCTCCTCCTGTCGTGAACCCTGCTGCCGTCAAAGAACCTGCTCCTGTCCTGGACCCTGCTGCCGTGCTAGAACCTGCTTCTATCATAGACCCTCCTCCTGTCGTGAGCCCTGCTGCCATCATAGAACCTGCTCCTGTCATGGACCCTCCTCCTGACGTCGCCCCTGACCCAGTCAACCCAGCCAGTGGCCCTGAGGAAGCTGCCCCAGCCGCTATAGAAGCACAACAACAATTGCCTGTACAACCTCCACTAATCCAAAACCCTCTTTCTCCCCCTGATTCCCCCACAGGTTCTGTGTCATTAGACAGAGTTGTCGCCCGCAGCGGTTGAGTGGTACGTACACCTGCCCGGTATGTATCACGTGTGGGACGTAACCCAGCTAACATCCCCGTCGCGCCCGGAAGGGAAGGGGAGTATTGTAGTGGAGGCTGGCTGGCCGACTCCCTGCGAATCTGCCGGCATATCCCTCGTGGTCAAGGTCAGGTAACCAGCGACGCCGAACAAAGCGGGGGCCTTCCATCAAGCCACGCCTACCGCAGTTATATAAGACCTCACCTGGCCTTCATCGCTCTCTTTCTACTTACCGCTACTAACAAGCAACATCCCTCAACAGCTCCATACACACGCTCCCTCAGAAAGCTCCTCGCCCTACAGGAACTCTGAGCAAGCTTCGCCCGACTTAGTATCTCTTTAACACTGTGCTGTGCAACAATATATATACGAGAAACACTGTGATTTTCTATTTCTACCTCAATCCTGAGTGTTGGATATATTTCATGTATGTAAGTTGTGAGGCCAAACAAGAGACCCTGACAACCTGCCACGACAGTACGCTACAATGTAATGCTTGTCAGATCAAAGCTTACAGCCCAGAATTACATCACATATAACAGCGAGTACACTAGAGACCTTGTGGTACCCCAACATTCCAGGCTGACACACCCCAAGACCCTAGGGACGTGACCTCGCCCGCTAATGACTTGAGTTAGCCAGGTGACCTACAACCTCACCTGACCAAGACACTTGGGCAGGACCACACCTGTACACAGCCGTCCAGATCTAACCAGTTTAGTGTTAATTGGTAGGTCAAAACACAGGCTGGGATAACCCCATATAAAAGCCTTGCAGTCCTGCCCGACCAGACCCCAGCTAAGCAGTCTCGCATACGAGAGCCCAGCCAACACCCACTAGGTCTACACGAGTCATTGTCAGAATGATTCCTAGGGTGAGTTACCTACTGTGGGAAATGTATTCATTCATGTGTGTCTGGGAGTCAGTGTCGAGTAACGTAAAACATAATGTGTAATACCCCGATATAATACTGATATTGATGTGTCCATGTCATTGAGTGAATTAATAAATAGTTGTATCGAAGAGGTGTTTAACAAGTTGTCCCTTTAAGAACATAATACTGTATATGTGTATTGACATACGAGATAAGATAAGTGTATTGACGCCGAGTAAATAACATCCCGGCCACGCTACCCAAGTTCCTATCTTTACATTACTACTCTCTATACTTCCTACATTTATGTAATCCTCTTCTTGTGAGTTTTCCCTCATTATAGCGAAGTGACAAGTTTGCCAACTCAAAATTATGCGAAAATGAATTTGCCAATCTTATAACTTTGAACATTAGACTTCCAAAACATCAGTTATAGGGTTTATTATGGGCAATGTATACTTTATATCAAGTATGAGGAATGTAGCTGTCTGTTCACAATTTATATACTGTCTCTGGTGCCCCAAATACCCTTCTAATTAGAAAGCTGATCTTAGTAATGTTTTTACTTTTACTTTGTAGCGTAGTGTATGTGGCCAGTTGTCTAATTTCTCTTTGTGCGTGTCAATTCTCTTTGTTATGGCCACATACACACATACAATAAGGGAGATCTCGCACTCAGGATGGAGGTGAGAAAGGAAACTCACAATGTTGTTTTTTTATATATATTATATGTACAGAATAGTCAGGTGCTGGGAAGTTGCTGCATAGTAGAGGAGTTGCTGTGGAGAAACTTCTTCAGAGGAGGTCTTCTCTAAGGTTGGCCATTTCCAAATTTACAACAAGGAGGAATTTTTTCCATATTTTTTGCGACATCTATTTTTTAACCATTAAGCATGTTTAATGATGAGTTGAAAATATAAAAAAAGTTGTATAAAATATACAAAATATACTTAGAAGAAATGTTCATTTGTCAAATATCACTTTAATGTGATGAATGCTATTTTGTGGTACTTTTTCTAAAATTTTATTTTTTTGAAATGCACTGTATATATTATATACATGCATTCATAAAGTATAAATAAAGAACTAAAAGAAATGAATATTCAATTTTACTCCTGCTGAAACAGCATATGCTAAACAAATTAACTTGCTTCACAAACTAAAAGAAGTAACCTACTGTAGTGAATACTCTCCCCTACAACTGCCACTGCCATTTGGTCGCTGACAAACCGACCCCGTGGTGAGTTTCTCAGCCCAAGCCTAGCTGTCTGACTGAGCGGTGATTGGCCAGCAGCGCCGCTCACTTCCGGCGGATTTGTATAAATAACCCCAGCCTCGCCGTGAAGAGGATTCTACTGAGCGCTCTCAAACAAACAAGACCTCCTCTCAACAAGCTCCTCACCACACAGCAATTCCCTAGCACTGCATTGTGTGTACATATATATATATTCAGTAATACCTCGCTTTACGCGGTCAATTCAACCCATGGAGGCCCACGTAAAGCGGGAAACGCGTAAAGTGAACAACAGAACATATGGGATTAATTGAAATAGAGACTGGGCCGACCCCCCAAACTCCACTTTTTCAGACACAATGCCTAAGTTGTAGTAAAAATAACTTCTTAATTTTATGATGGTATGCACACACAATTAATAATTAAGAGAAATATCAATAATATTAGGTTTTTTAACACTTACATTAGTAGAAAAGATGGCTGGGCACACGGGAATGGGGGGTTGGTTCCGAGGCAGAGGGCAGATTATTGGCCCTCACCTGTATCACTTGTATCAATTGTATCACTATCCACCGCAGAGGCATGCAGGGCCTCTTTGTCAAACCCCTCAAAGTCCATATCCTCACTATCACTAACTTGGGCCGACTGTTGTGGGTGGCGGGTGAAGAACTCGGTAATGTTTTGATAACTGGGCGACCTTGTGCGCACCCTGCCCGTGCCGCTTCCCGCGAATATGAGTAGATGCACCGCGTAAAGTGAACATTCCGGTTCTGGCGGGGTACCATGTAAATGTAGAAATGCGTAAAGCTAAAAATCCATAGATTTTATCCAGGGTTTTCGAAGTTTTTTAGTGGAATCCGCTTAAATGCGTGGAATTTTTACGTGGTCACAAAAAGTTGAACGCTTAACTGTGAAACCACGGATAGTGGATACTCTTATAATGAGGACCTCCTGTAGACAGTTTAGGACTGCCATCCCTATGTAAGGGGGCATAAATAAAGACCTAGAAACTAAAAAAAATCAAAAGTGTTCAAAATGGATATTGAGCTACCCAGGTCTTGTTTCCACCATGTTCAATCCAGTGTTTGGGAAAACCTTCATGAAGCTACTGTATGTCCCTTGGATACAGTGCTACTACCATCACATTCTTGTACTTTCATCATCAATTACCAATAAGAAAAATCTAAATTACCATTATTTTGACAAAACAGATAGAGACAATATGGACACCCAGTATATGAGAAAAGTTTGGGATCAACACTAGGGTGAGTGAGGAATGTGCTTAGTTACTGTAGCTGATTAAAATTTTTCTTGATGAATGAGTAGCTGATAAGAATGTTGTTGGCAAAGCACTCTCTTGACATAAATTATATGCCTATTAAGAACTTGTGATATTTTAATAGGGCATAAATTACAGTACTGTATATTATCAACTTTATTGGTATAACACTGAATAAAATACTATGATGTCCCTTTGAGCACAAATGATTAAAGATATTCCACTCATGCAATTGATTTGTATACAGCCCAGAGCAATTAAAAATTTTCATGGCAGAAGTGCCATGTTTAAGCTTTGCTGTGAACAAGTTATGGTATTATACATAAGCCAGTTTGTTCCACAACGGTATTAGGAGTGTATGCACATGCAGTGCAGCATTTGTAAAAAGTAAAGAACCAACCATTTGCACTTAATTTTTTCATAGTACTGTATATTCTAGGATTTCATTTGAATAAAATAAAGGAAGCGCATGCATACTACTCCATGACTCTTGTAACTTTCATGTTATGATTACCAATCTCTTCTACTTCCCTATTATATACCATAAATTTGTTAATTACATTATGTACTTACAGAATTTTTCTTTTACTCACTGCCAGGAGCAACCTTCATATACTCAATGCTCAAAAGGTTGAAAATAATTTCAAAAACACTTTTTGAAAACTAGGATAACAAATGTTTGAGATGACAAATTATATATACTCTACTGTATATGTTACTCAATGGTCATCGTAGGCAGGAACGTGCATCCATGATCTGCAAGTGCTTTGAGGATGTTGGCAATGTTTTTGCAGTCATCTAGAAAACCAAAATGAAAAAAAAATTATTATACCTTCTATCTATTATCTTTATTCCATTCCACTGTGTGGGATGGATAAAATATATAGAAACTTCAAAGCAAAGGGGGAATTGTTTGAGGAAGATGGGTCAAGAAACGTGTACAAAGTAACAGAAAAGGGCTAAAATAACTTTTTGTTATGTCCTGAACTTGTACAGTTGTGGACAAAAAGAAATTATATACTGTGTGTGTGTATATATATATATATATATATATATATATATATATATATATATATATATATATATATATATATATATATATATATATATATATATATATATATATATACAATAGTACCTGATTTTGGCGGTCAATTGAACCCATGGGATTTTAGCGGAAAGTGAAAACCCGTAAAGTGAACAACAGAACATATGGGATTAATTCTAGAGACTGGCCCGACCCCCAAACTCCACTTTTTCAGGACACAATACCTGCGTTGTAGTAAAATTACATCTTAATTTTATGATGGTATGCACACACAATTAATAATTAAGAAATATCAATAATATTAGTTTTTAACACTTACATTAGTAGAAAAAGATGGGGCACACAGGGATGGGGTTGTTCTGAGGCAAAGGATTATTGGCCCTCACCTGTATCACTTGTATCAATTGTATCACTATCCACCCATGGCTTCAGGGCCTTTGTCAAACCTCAAAGTCCATATAAGTCCATATCCTCACTATCACTATAACTATCACTGACTTGGGCGGCTGTGGTGGTGGGGTGAAGAACTCGGTAATGTTTTGATAACTGGCGACCTTAGGCATCCTCTGCCGCTTCCCAGAGTATGAGTAGATGCACGCAGAAAGTGAAAAGTCCGGTTCTGGCGAGGTACTGCTTAAATGCGAATCATGAAAAGGGAAAACCGCCGAAAGCGGGTGGAATTGTATGTATGTATGTATGTATATATATATATATAGTATGTGCGTATGTAATATATATATATATATATATATATATATATATATATATATATATATATATATATATATATATATATATATATATATATATATATATATATATATATATATATATATATATATATATATATATATATATATATACACACACAGTTGTACCCCACTTAACGCGGTCAATAGAACCCAGAGGGTCCCGCGTTAAGTGAAATCCGCGTTAAGTGAACAACAGAACATATGGGATTAATTCCAATAGAAACCGGCCCGACCCCCAAACTCCACTTTTTGAAGACACATAACTATGTTGTAGTAAAACTAACATCTTAATTTTATGATGGTACATGCACACAATTAATACTTAAGAGAAATAGAGAAATACAGTCGCCAAGTTAATGTCCATTCAAATAACGGACTCAACTCCCTCCCCCTCTTCTCACACTACACTGCCGGCTCTTCCCTCTGAGAAATTTTTTGGGGAAAACTACTAAATTTTAATAAATAATACCTCAAACTAAAGTTAGGATAATACGATTGACATTGCTGGATTCCTTGTAAGACCAGGAATATTTTGAATATAAATGTCATATATTTTGCACAAAAGAGAACATAGTTACTCAGAGAAAACATTTTATCTAAAATTTGTATGTCTAATGTAAAATATATGATGTTTATATTCAAATTGATCATCAAATTATAAGAATTCCAGCAATGTAAATTATATTCTGACCAGGTAATTTGTATGAATTTTATGAGCTAAAACAAATATCTTCAGTTAATGAAAAAAAAAAAATTCTTCACGACACTATCTGTCAATCAAAGTACCCCACCTTGCCAACCCCCCTCTTCCAACCGCGCGGTCAGTCCCAACCCTCCCCCCCACCCCCCACCACTCCTCCCTTCAAGAGATGTTGGGTGAAAAAAATAAATTTTAACATTTTGTATTAAATAATACCTCAGATTAAAGTTAGGATAATATAATTGACATTGCTGGATTCCTTGTAAGACCAGGAATATTTTGAATATAAATGTCATATATTTTGCACAAAAGAGAACATAGTTACTCAGAGAAAACATTTTATCTAAAATTTGTATGTCTAATGCAAAATATATGATGTTTATATTCAAAATGATCACCAAATTATAAGAATTCCAGCAATGTAAATTATATTCTGGCCGGGTAATTTGTATGAATTTTATAAGCTAAAACAGGCAGTCAGGCAGGGTGGCGGGTGGGGCAAATCTAAAAATAGCGTCTCGAGCCGGACACTCGCCGAGTATATGTGGAAAAAATCCGTGTTAAGTGAAAGTTCAGCTCTGGCGAGGCACCGCGTATATGAAAAAACGCGTTAAGTGAAACCGCGTTAGGCGGGGTAATACTATATATATATACGTACAGTATATATATAGTAATCCTCATATTGCATAACCTCATGCTCTAAGCATAGCCAAGAGGTCAAAGCCTTACCCTCTAAACTAATGAGCTAGCTTCGTTCTCACGAACTAGCAGACACACTCCTCTCAGCCCTGAGACAGAGAGCACCTACATATTTTTGCTCTCTGAGGCAGACTCTTAGTTATAGTCCTACCTCTAAATTATTGTGTATACTGTAATAGTGTTGCAACAATAAAACAAAACATTCAGTTGTAAACCCCTACCACTTACCAGTGTCCTCTAAGGAAAAGGTAGCTTATAAAAGATAACCCTTATAGTTATCAGATCAAACAATTAACACTGTCTAAAACAAATAAAAAGTATTTCATAGTGATTAAAATAAGAAATAAATTCATATGATTAAATCATCATAACTAGACACTAAGCACATACCGGTATGTCACAATAGTCACTAAAACACAACAAACGAGCAGAAGAAAATAGATTTGAGAAGATGAGTCGAGACAGTTTTGACATTATCACGCTAAAGGCTACTTATTTACTGAAGTCCGCCCCTCCTACCATGAAACATGACAGGCAGGGAACAAGATTGGTCCTGGTTCCTGGAGAGGAATAGTAAACTTTTTCCATCTTGTTACTGTACATCTCTGTTAAGCATGTGCTAGTTAACTGATGTGTTAATGACACATGTTGCAACTTGGTCATCTTGGTCACTATTTAGAGATGACTCAAACAGGTTTACAATGATACTGGCATCTTGGGAAACAGATGGAGTTGAAACCAGTCCTGACATATGCAAGTATGGCTGTTAACTTTGGTCTAAAATATATATTTTTTCTAATTCCAGCAAAGTTTAGTTAAACATAATTTTAAGTAGAATAAAATTTAGATTAGAAAGTGAGTTAACTAAAGAGAAAAATGAACTTAGAAAGGGAAAGGGAACTAGAGAAGCAAAACAGTATTTGGTTTGAGAATTTTGAGTGAAGGGCTAAAGGGCTGTAGAAGTCTAAAGAAATTTGTGTATCTGCTTTGTTGATTTTGAAAAGCTTTTGATAAGGTAAAGTACAATAAACTTATAGAGATCTTGGAAAAAATAGCATTATGGAATGAGATATTACAATTTTAAAGAATTTCACTGGCAAAAGAAGGGTGCAGTGTTAGTAAATACTGAACTTACTAATTGGTTTACAATTAGTGAGTAAGACAAGGTTGTGTTCTATCTCCAACATTGTATAATATATATTCAGAATTCTTAATGACAGAAGTTTTCAGTGATAATGAAGGACTAAAAGTTAATGGTAAAGTAATATTAAATATATGCTATACAGATGATACTGTTCTTATAATAATAATAATTTAATAATAATAATAATAGCTGGTCTTTTGTTTCTCAAAAGTGCCAATTTTCCTAAAGAATTCACTAGCACTCAAAACACTACAAAATAAAACACTTGAAAATAAAAAGAAATATGGCACTACAACAAAAAGATCCCTTAAAGTGACAGTTCAACTTCTATTATTCATAAACCCTTATTTAAAGGTCTCCACAAAAGTCAGCTACTTCATGAATGCAGGCAACCGATTGTACAATCTGGGTGCTGTATAAGAAAAGCATTGGGCAGCAAAAGAACATTCCCATACTGCTCTAGGCTCCTCAAAGTGTGAAGGATCATCACCACTAAGCAAAATCATTTCGGAATGAGTAGTCAGTGGAATTAGTAGGTTGGCCAAATACTTAGGATCACCTAACATTAGTGCCTTAAAAGTTATTATACAGAGTTTAATTGGAACCCAATGTACTCAATCAAGAATGGGGTACTGGGATAGTGGGAGACCTTGGTGGGAGACCAAAAATAAGCCTGGTAACCCTGTTCAACACTGATCTTTCTTCAGTAGATAATTAGGTAGGCAGACCCATAAAGACAAATAAGTGAATGTAATAGTGTCATAAGACACTAACTACCCAATAACTGTTTAACAGCATATAGATTTTCAATATGAAAGTTTAAACTGTTAACTACTGAATTTATATGATCTTTAAAATTCAGTTCTGAACCCAGAATTGACAGGACTGAGTTGCACTTTCCCAAAGTTTAAAGAGACAAAACTCATCTGTGCCATCTCCCCTCTTTTTTCCTTGGATGACAATAATCTCTGCCTCACTATCCAAATCTTAATATCAAGGATTTCATTACCTCCTCTATATCCTCAACATTATTATTTTCACATAAAGCTGTGTATCATCAGACTAGAAATGGTAGGCAATCCACAGATAGTGAAGAGGCATTACAAAAACTCGTTAATATGTCAGTGGGGAAAGATGACAAGTGTGGTTTAAGAGTTAATGGTGTAAAGACTAAAGTAATGGTTGTTTCCAAATTGGAAATAAATCCTAAAATAAAAATTATGGTAGGCAACAGGGAACTTAAACAAGTGGAAATTTTTTGTGTATTTGGGGAGTAACATTAACTGTGATGGTAGATGTATGGAAGAAATCAAAACAAGAGTAAGGTCAGCAAAAACAACAATTAATAATCTAAAAGACCCAATGAAAAGGTACATAACTTCAATTTGTATGGGTCAGAAGCATGGACACATTCAGCAGAAACCAGAAGGAGGTTAGAGGCCTTTGAAATGTGGTCTTTTAGGCAAATGATAAGAATAAGCTACAATGACAGGAAAACAAATTAAGAGGTACTAAGATTGGCAAAAACTTCAAAAGAAATACTTGAAATTTACAGAAAAAGAAAAATTAGATACTTTGATCGTATAATTAGGGATGAGGGGATAATACAGTAACAGAAATATTAATGGGCAAAGTTGAGGTTAGGAGGGCTAGGGGAAGGCAGAGACTGAAATGAGAGAATGAAATTAAAAACTCTTTCCTGAGATACAAAACCTTTGAGGATTGGTAAAATCAGCCCAATAACAATTAGAGTGGAGGACTGTGGTACCCAACCCTCAGATATGAGGACGTTACTCCTGAATGATTGATTGATTCTTTAAAACAACAGTGTATGAAATAATAGAATTACTGTACAAATTCATTATGTACAGGTTATGAATGACTTCCGTTCCTGGGGACATTCTTAAGTCGAAAATGTACGTACATCTACAGTAAGTCGAAACACATACCCTACAGTATGTGCATACACTACTGTACTTACAAAAGATGCATAAACGTAAGCCCAAATTTCCCCCTCTGTCCCCCCCACTAATAATAATAATAATAATAATAATAATAATAATAATAATAATAATAATAATAATAATAATAATAATATCACCTAAAAAATAATTACAATTAAAAACAAAATACACTGGGCATTGAAGAAGAAAAAAAAAAGGGAGGCTCCAGCCCTGCCATAAAATATCACATACTTTTTCTTTATATCCTGCCATGCATATGCTTTAATTTTGCAACATTTCTATAATTCACAATTTTTTAAAGAAGGAGTAGGTGATTTTCAGTGGCTCTGGATCATAGCCTCGAGTTACCCATGGAATGCATGAATTGGTTTAATGACAATTACTTAGTGTGCCATTTTCCAGGAAAGTATTTCCATACAATAATGAGTCTGTTGTACACTCGGTAAAAAAAGTATCTTTCAGGAGGGGTCCGATGAGTTTTGAACTGAACATTCAATAGTGCTGTCTCACTAGGGCTGAAGCATAATTGTGAGCCATTTTCTACCTATTATGGTAGGCCTTATTTAGTTATTTCTTTCAAAATATAAAATTAGTTCGTTATAATATGAGTGGTGCATAACAGTACAGTATGCCTCATGGGTCTTTATCAAAACCATTTGTTCGTGGTGTCATTTTGTTTTGCACAAGAATTGTAAAGATAAGTTTTTTACCGAGTGTACCTATTTCAAAAAAATATACAGTATCAGAATAAATGAAAGATAATACAATATCTTACCAAAACCTCGATGCAGGCGACCAGTGTGAGTGAGCCCCAGGCCCTTAATCATTGGCATCATACCTTTGATGTATTCTCCCTTCACAATTGCATATGACTGTAAAGTAAATATTCCCATTAGCTGTCTTGCTTCATGTGTACCTGTGACAAGCAGGGTACCACAGGGCAGTGTAATTGCCCATTGTTGTTAGTTTGCTTCATAAATGATATGCCAGAAGCTATACACTCCTCCATACAAATGTTTGCGGATGATGCCAAGTTAATAAGGGAAATTAAGAACCAAATAGACTGTGAAAAGCTGCAGAAAGATCTCTGTGAGCTTCAAGAATGGTTAAAAAATTGGCTGCTAAGATTCAATGTTTGAGAGATGAAAATGAAGTGCATTTTTGGGGAAATTCCGAGAAAAATTTTCTGGTCCCCCCACAAGTTCACGGAGTTTTACTTCGCGGTTCTCAATTATTCGCGGATGACACCCTGGATGTACCCAAGAATGTCTGTGGGTAGTTTCAAAGTTGCCGTCATTTTCGCGGTCGGGACAGGGAGCCATTCATTCCATAGACAGTAATTTCCTTTACCTGTATTGTAAATATGTGTGTGTGTGTAGACAGACACACACAAAACACATACAAATAAATAATAATTGGAAAATACTCTCACAAATAATCAGAAACAAATTTATAAAAAATGTGAGTCTACCCTCAAGTTTGTGCCCTATTAATAAAGTACTGTAATGGAGAACGGAATTGAGGGTAGACTTTCACATTTTTAATAAATTTGTTTCTGATTACTTGTGGGAGGATTTTCCAATTATTATTTATTTGTAGGTAGACTTTCACATTTTTAATAAATTTGTTTCTGATTACTTGTGGGAGGATTTTCCAATTATTATTAATTTGTATGTGTTTTGTGTGTGTGTATAGACACACACATATACAATACTACAGGTAAAAGAAATAATTGTCCTTAGGGCAAACACATAAAGGGAATATACATGTCTTTGTACACAAGTAAAAATATATATACACCCCGGGCAAATGTTACGCGTGGATTTGGTAATTCACAGCCTTTTTGAGAACCTAATTCCCGCGAATTTGTCTGGCCCCCTGTACCCAGAAAATTCCAGGGATGAGGGATATTTTTCAGGGTTCGACAGATGATGTAATGGGCAATTTCTGGAACTTCCAAGAAAATTTTTCCATTACCCAGAAAATTCCGAGGATGGGGGATTTTTTTCCGTCTTTAAGAGAGTCGTCTAGTTACCTGGAATCTCTCGTTTCACTCTACATAAATGATGTGGCTTAGAAATAAAGAAATTACAATAAAAATATATATAAAATAAGAAAAATGAAGAGTATGGGTGTGTATGTGTGGGAAGTGAATATGTGTGTAGGTTGTGCACTATAAGTGTGTGGCTAACTCAGCAGCCATTATTACTACGTACAGTACCTAAAATGAAGCTATAAAATTTTTTGAAAAATCATTAAAATACTCTAATATGGCTTATAAAATATAATATAAAGCAAGAAAATAAAAAGCATATGAGACTGAGTATGTATGTGCGAGAAAAGAACGTGTGTGGAGCCAAGGCCTTGGCTATAACTACAGCTCCTCCCCGACTTACGACCTATTCGACTTACAACCACTCGCACTTACGACCGCCTCAGTCGTACCAAAATTTTGTCAAATTATGTATTTTCGAGTCCCAGCGTCAGTACACAGACAAAATTTTCGTTTGTAATTCACTTTAAAGTGGCTGGCAAGCTTAAAAGTTACGACCTGAATTTGGGTCCCTAACCCCGTCGTAAGTCGGGGAGGAGCTGTACGTGGCTGACTAGCCAGCCTCATATATTGGTAGCTACTTGTAATGAAATTATAAAAGTTGTGGAAAAATTATTACAATACTCTAATGTGGATTAGAAATTCGAAAATATAATGCTATGTAAAACTATAAAATAAGAAAAATAATGAGAGGGTGGGAAGTGTGTGTTGTGGAGGTGGGTTATGGGCTATAACTGTGGCTGTGATCCCTCCAGGCGTAGCGTTACGGCATACATACTCTCATGGCAGCCACATGTCTGTGAGTCAGGTGGTTGACTGCCTGAACTGTGTCTGTTGCTCAGAGGATGGCTTGAATGTGGAATGAGCTATTTTTTTTTTTTACATAAAATATGTGTTATTGTATTTTATGCTATGCATCAATTTTATTGTTTATAATTGCAATGTTTGTTAACAAAGCGGCTAAAGCGTCACTGGGTGGCAGACACATGAATGAATGGCTTCAGTTGTATTTGGATTGTTGGACTAAATTAAAAATTTTACCAAACAGGAACAAAGGGGACAAAGTTTGCATTCCTGGAAGATTCAGATAATTGGAATTTGGATAAAAGGAATTGCAATGTAAATTAAATAAAGTCCATGACACTCGATTTACAGTGAAAGTAGAGATGTTTTGCATACTGTGGCCTGACATGAATGGGGCAGGTTGCTGTGTGTTACTGGGTCATACCGCAGGGACCAATTTTACCAGGGGGTGCTGAATATTAATTCTTGTGTCCTAGATACTCTATGGTGCAATGTATAGCACCTTATAACAAAAATATTGTGGTGCTACAGCACCCTTCCTTCCTGCATCCATGTAATGGGGTGGAGTGAAAGGGGGAGGATGGCGTGGGCCACACTGGGGCAAATATGAGAGAACTGACTAACCACGGAGTGTGTGCGGGAAATGCGCATCTGCCAACGGTCTGTCACATAATTTCAACAGCGTTGAGGATAGCTGAATTTCGACAGCGAATCTTGAAAAATGGTTACTAATAATTTTATGTGAATAAATGATGGGAAGCTGATGAGGCCATTTGTACAGCATTGGACATTTCAGCTGTAGCTAGCTGTAGACATTTCAGCCTTGATCAAATCTCACCATCTCAAATTTCAATAAGCTAAGTACTGCAACTGTATTTTGAATTTTAATATGGTAAACTTTAAGTACACTATAGTATTTGAAAATGATAATAACTAAATAATGTCAAATATAATGATGAAAAAATCAGTCAACTGAGTATACCAGACACAGGAACATATACCACTGATTAGTCTAAGCCCACACTCTCAAATGTATATCTACGTTATGAATATCCCTCATATATTAAGATGTAAGACTGAACAAAATTAATGACTGAACATTTTCAGTCCTACACAAATGCAGGGCCGGATTCAGGAGTGGGCAAAGTGGGCAGCTGCCCAGGGGCCTCCACAATCTGGGGGCCTCCACATATTACATTATTTTATTTATTTGTTTATTCATTTGGATTATTTTTATTTTCATTCTTTAAAATTCATGTTTATCTATTCCATGCATTCTTGGACAGAACGATTATTTGAGTAGAGGTTTGTCTGATTAATAATGCAAGGAATCATCTCTCTGTAATAACTAATAATATATTCTTTTCTGTGAAGTCTCTTGAAAATTTTTGACATGTGCGGTAGTAGCTATATCAGGGTTAGTCGACTTGAAACCACATGAATGACTCCAGTCATGTCTCACTTTTGTGTGTGTGTGTGTGTGTGTTGGGAATTTGAACACTATCAATAAATATACAGTTAATTAAAAATTTCTCAATGTTCTAATTTCCTCAATATAACTGCATATGGCTTCAAAATTCTCCCGGAACTCCTAGATGTTTAGGCTTGCTTCGCTCGCCACCCCACCTCTTGGGTAGTTATAATGAGGGGGGTCTCCACTAAGAGGCTGCCCATGGGCCTCCACAGGTCTAAATCCGGCACTGCACAAATGCCTCTTACACTTATGACAAGAATCCTATGCATGTAGGATATAAAGACTGGGATTATAGACCTCTAAATCTTGACTTATGGATAAAAGATGTGCTTGTGAGGATGTCAGCTTTATATCAACCTTGCATTTATTTTGAGTATGAGAAAACCTAAGACTCCATTATAGGTTACCATTAAAGAAACTCTCAATAAACTATTTGATTATTATACTGCTGACCTGATTCTGTACATGCATGTATGATGACAACAGTACATTTTAAGTGGAGTTGTCAGAGCATGTGGAAAACAAGGAGAGTTAATCTGTACCCAGGAGAAACACCAAATACTAGCTTACCTCAATAGTGGTAGGTTCATGCACATTGGGACAGAAGGGCTTAGTGTTATACAGTACATACTTGCCTTTTTTATATTCAGCCATTTCTTACAGTAAGCAGGCACTTGGAGATTCTCAGAAGCACACTGACTTGGGAGCATAGTTTTGAGGTCCCAGTCACCACATGTGACAAAAAGAAATTTATTGTTTATTCCCACGTCCTCTTTTATCCATTTATCAAAGTCTTTAAAGACTTCAGGAAATGGCTTTCCTCCATCAACTTCTTCCTAGTAAAACACCAACAAATTATAAATTAGTAATGTTACTTTTGCATCAATAAAAAGACACCAAACTTAGTTAATCAAATTCAAAGGAGTGAAGAAAACAAGTTTTTGCCATTAAATATGTACCCTGTACATATCCCATTCTAACTCACAGCAATGGTCAAAAGGCCATAGTCATGGACGTTATTGAGGATATATGCTAATCACTGAATTTGCTTGATATCTTTATGTGATATACCTACAGGTTTAAATGCCTAATTGCCATAATTCCTTTTCCTGTGCAGTGGTTGGGACAAATAGTTAAACTATGCATTTTTACCAATCAGAAGAGTACTACCCTGGACTGGTAGTTAAAATTAATCAAAACAATTTCAAAACTTTTGCAATACAGTATATAAGTAGTTTGGGGGGTTCTTTACAGACCAATCTAGTACAGGTATATATCATTTACAATACATCTACAACAGTATGTAAAAACAAACAAATAATTTTAAATTTAAAACTAAAAGATATATCATATATGGAAAATAGTTTTTCACACACACACAAAAATGCTTTCATTATACTGTATTATAAATTTTACATAATACTTAATGAATCAAACTACCTGTGTTATAGAAGTCAAATCCATACAAAACCGACTCAATATTGGATGATGTTTTGGTTTGACAAACTGGTGGAAGCTCGAGTCTATTTCATAAGTCTTGGCATTCACTTTCAAAACAGGAAATTCAATTACTTCCTGTAAAAAAAAAAACAATAATTATAATTAATTCTAACAAGAAAAAAATTACTGTATTTTGAAGTACGGTATGCACGGCTAGCCTCTAAGATCCCAGAACACAGCATCTCGCTGACAACAAACAGTGGTTATAAATGGAGTAGTACTGTATACTCAGAATGGGAAAAGATTCTCAATGGAGTACCACAAGGATCGATTCGTGGACCCCCCTGTTTGTGATCTACATTAACATGTTTGTGATCTAAAACAGAGAGAAGCTCGGGAAGCAGCCATCCCCCTGGACTCCCCCCCCCACCCACCTGGTACGATGTCCTCCGTAAACTTCCTGACCTCTCGTACGTCTATGGGAAAGGGTCGCGGAAAGGGGACGTGATTGCTGCCCGTATCATCATTGGGTATGACTTTGCTTGGGAGATTGGTATCCCCACATCCCCTGAGCAACGCTCTTGTGCATTATGCAGAAGACCCGACAGCAGCACCCTTATCCACTACCTCCTAAGATGTCCCGACACACAACGCTTCCGTGACGCCTGCTGGACCACCACTCCACGACCCCCTGACGGAGACACGATGATCTTCCCCATACTGGCCAGATATTATGTAAATAACATTGATTATGTGTTAAAGGAATATCCTTCCTTCCTTAGGCTTTAGTAAGCCCCTTTATAATATTTATACTATATATACTTGTCACACTTGCCAGATGCTTCTGGTATCATTGTACAGGGGTACCTAGTGACAGCACTAGGATCCCGCTTCCTCTATCAAGGAATAAACAATTGAAATTAAAAAAATTGTGATCTAAATTAACAATGTTGATGAAAATAGAATGAGCCACACAATCAAATTTGCAGATGACACAAGATTTTCAAGTGGTCTTGAATGACAATTGATTTTTAACACAGCAAAATGTGAAACTCTACATGTGGGTCACAATAGCTTGAAAGACAACTACTGTACTCAGTGAATAACACTTTCTTGGAAAAATATCACTGAAAAGAAGCACAATGAATGGGGGCAGTAGAGAAAAAGGCCAAACATTTTTTAGGAATCATAAGATGTACAGTCACTCAAAAAAATTTCTGTACAGCATGCCCATAAAATTTGCAGGGGTTGGGTTCTCAAAATGGCCACAAATAACATTTGTTGACAGGGGGTGGGGAGGGTTACATTTTTACATGTGCAAAGAAATATATATTCCCTTTATGTGTTTGCCCTTAGGACAATTATTTCTTTCACCTGTATTGAATATAAATAATAATAATAATGATAATTAACTGTGATGGGTAAATCCTCTCACAAATAATCCGAAACAAATGTATTAAAAATGTGAGTCTACCCTCAAGTTCACTTCATGCTTTGTTATTAATAACAAAGCATGGAGTTGATTTGAGGGTAGACTCACATTTTTAATACATTTGTTTCTGATTATTCGAGAGGATTTTCCCATTATTATCTATTTGTATGTGTTTTGTGTGTGTGTTTCTACACACACACACACATACAATACAGGTAAAAGAAATTACTCTCTCTAGAATGAATGGCTTCCTGTCCCGGCTGCAAAAATGCCGGCAACCTTAAAACTACATTCTTGGATACATCCAGGGTGTCATCCGCGAATATTCAAGGTCTGCCAATTGTCAGGGCATGCTGTTTTTTCAGTAAGGCTGTCAAAATCCTTCCTCAGTTGTGTCATATTTTCTGTCAAATTTTCTCAACACAATTTTGTATAGATAATTTTTTGAATGACTATACCCTCATAGATATGAATATGTTCTTTCAATTTACACAATCTGGACTACTGTATAGTAATCTCCCTGTTAGCCAGAACAATTGATGTAAAGCATTTCTGGTTTTGAGAGATTTCTGGTATTGAGACCAATTCTTTCATCCCTAGAATAATCACACATTTATGAAATTTGTGGATATAGGACTAATCACAGAAAAAAGTTCCTCTTGGTGACACAGTGATACGGGAGAAGGCAAAGCAAGTGTATGAACATCTCCAAGCAAAGGCAGGTTTGAAAATTTCAAGAGATGCCATAGCTGCCATAACATGAAACCAGTGGGGGATTCGGCATCGGCTGACCATGATGCTGCTGCAAATTACCCACAGCAATTAAAAGAGCTAACAGAGGAGAAGGGCTAAAGGCTGGAGCATGTCTATAATGGTGATGAAACTCTCTTTAGGAAGAGGATACCAAACTGCACCTTCCTGTTCAAGGATGAAAGATCTGCTCCAGGGTTCAAAATGGCTAAGGAGTGCCTAAACCTTTTCTGTAGCAATGCATCTGATGACTTTAATGTGAAGCCGATGCTGCTGCACAGGTCCATGAACCCCCGAGCCCTGCCCTTAAGGGTAAAAACAAAAGTCATCTTCTTGTCTTTTGGCGAGCCAACAAGAAGGGATGGGCGACCGCTGCAGTTTTTTATGGCTGGTTCACCAACTGTTTCATCCACGAGGTGGAACGGTACCTGAAATTCAAGAATATGACGTCTAACCCTTAAGGTCCTGCTGATATTGGACAATGCACCTGGCCACACTGAAAATCTTCAGTTTGCTCAACCACAAGTTGAAGACGTCTTTCTACATCCCAACACAACCTCACCAAGGAATTATTACTATTTCTAAGTCCTACTACAACCGCCACACCTTCAAGAAAATCCTTTATCAAATGGAGTGACCCCTCGCTCACAATCCCCAAATGCTAGAAAAAGTATGTCATAGCTGACTGCATAACAACCACCAATGAGTCTATTGAAGAATTTAAATCTTTAACTTTGAATGCTTGCTGGAGAAAGCTGTGGTGTGAGGTGGTTGAATAAGTTTACGGGCTTCCCCTCAATAGATGAGGAGGTGTAAAGGACTGTGAGGATGGCACATCAGGTTGGAGGAGAGGGTTTAAGTGATATGCAAGAGGATGAGATGGAGGACCTCCTCAAGTCAGATCAAGAGGAATTGACAAAGGAAGGATCTGGAGTAGCTCATGCATTCAAGTGAGGAAATTGAGGACGAAAGTGATGAGGTGGAGGTGGCAAGACCACAACTTATGCTGAAGGTTCTGGTAGAAAACCTTCAGAAGACTAAGGCCCTAGGTGACACAGTGGTTGAACTGGACCCTTTCATGGAACGAAGCATCAAAATTAAAAGGGAATTGGAGGCTGTGATGCTCCCCTTCAGGGAAACTTATAAGGATTTACAGCACAAATTTTTTCAAGAGAGGCACCACCACCACCACTGCACCAGTCACTGCTCCCTCCACCACCACAACTGCACCAGTCACTGCTCCCTCCACCACCACAACTGCACCAGTCACTACTCCCTCCACCACCACTACTGCACCAGTCACTACTCCCTCCACCTCCACCACTGCACCAGTCACTGCTCCCTCAACCTCCATCACTGCACCAGTCACTGCTCCCTCAACCTCCACCACTGTGCTAGTCACTGCTGTAAAGACAAACCTAGTACTGTACTTCAGTACCCGTATAAGAGAAAATTGTTACCATAGCTTTATTTTTCAAGAAATATAAAGCAAATGGATAAGGTATGCATTAACTCACCTGTGGTCTCATCTTTCCTTCCTCACAACAGGTGGCCTCAAAATCAAGGACAAGAAAGTAATCATAAGACTGTGGTTTTCTCTTCGTCATCATTGATTGCTGGAGTTTGATATGTGAATTGATATGATGTAATGGTATTCTTGTCTTATCTGAAATGGGAAAAAATGACATGCTAATAGACCATACAATTTGTCTCTAAGATATTGAAAAAAAAAAAAAAAAAATAAAAGTTTATTTAATCAACTCCATTAAACTAAGTAAGGGCTCCAAGGATCAGTTTGTAGCTCTATTAAATCCCATCCCAAAAGACACGTGTTCAGTTTCATGGAAAGGCAAGGTACAAGCAAGCATTACCCTGCTGTAGTACCAGTATGTGCTGAGCTGGCCACCAAGTTACATCTATGCCCTGAGCTAAGCTAACCCTTCTTGCCTGGGAGTCATCACCCTACAAGCCGTGGAAGTGACCTATGCTCCTGAGTTGCTATACCTATACAAATGCTATAAATCTAGTTACCGGTACATGTACAGTCCCAGATGAAAGTTCTCGCTACAGTCAAGGTGGATGGTGCAAAGTCTGCCCACCCTTACTGGACAATGGGTCCGCTGTCCAGCCATTCCCACCCTCCTGGACACAAAGGCAAGCAGAAAATGGCCGCGAAGTGCGTACATGACCGCGAGCGCTATCCGTCAAAACAATGCTGTCCCCTTATCTCCCTCGCTCCGCGCTGACATTTTCCCCCCACTGCAGCCCCAATGAAGCTACTAGACGGAAAATATAGAGTTTTTCTTACTTCTTTTTAATTGTTTTATCATTTAAAAAGGTTAAAAATAATTTTTGGAAAAGTTTATTTTTCTCGATTAACCCCACGTGGGGGGTACGGCCAGCGGCACCCTAGCCCGGAGCGTAGGGGTTAATATAAAAGTGTGTCACAACAAGCAGTAGGTCACAACACCACTTAATTAGCTTTTGATGGAAAATAAGATAAAAGTTACATGACTGTATTGTATTATTAGTTATACTCATATAGGTAACCATAAATGTTGCCTACTTAATATTATTTACAATACACTCAATATATTTGTGGATAATTTTAACATTAAAAAACTAAAACAGTGATTCAATCAATCTATTCTTTTGATTACATAAATTATGCATAACACATATTGTCAGCAAAATTATTCAAACATTAGCCAGTCCAAACACCCTGTAGCCTGTTCGGTATAGGTGCCACAAGGTCAAACACCAGCTCTGAATTACTCCCCAACCCCCACAAAAATACAACAGATTGATTACTTACTTGCCATATACAGTAGCTACAATGTGTTTCCAATTTGGGCTACCACTTCTTTGGTTTGGGGATGAAGACTGAAAAAAATATTGAGTCAGTTGGGTATTGTACACAGATTTCATTAAAGTTAAGAACTTCTATGTCAATTTCATATCTAAAAATCATCCTCCCTGTGTAGACTGTGTGACCACTTCCTTCATTCATACAGACTGCAAGATCTTAGGTCACCTGTAAGCTCAACACAACATACACATATATATGAAAAAGGGGAAATTTTAAATCAAATCAGCAAATACAGTATGTGAGAGTAGTAGTCCTTTTAGCATGTGTTCAAAGATTAATGGCAAAAGGCCACAAAACCTGTTGAATGATCTATGATTTTCTTAAATAACTCACAGAAGCAATTATGGTACACACAGTAACAAAAAGTGTCGCACATAGGGAGTTTGCTGACTTCCGTAATGATCCATACATCACCTGATGTGCCGGGAGGCTTGGTAAGCATATTCCACTATCCCTCGTCCGTGGTGTAATATTGTTTCGCACATAATCCATGCATTCCTTTTTTTACTGTGTGTGTCATAAGACTGTCTGCACCTACTTGCTCTCATACATGGTTGACCAATTGATACCAATGGTTTAAACCAAACATAATTTTTTTTTTTAAATCTCAAACTTTTTCATTGGTTTTATTAAGTTTTTGTCGGTTTATATTATTTCCAGGTACGGTAGTTAATATACCAGAGTCCCTAGTTCCTATACTAGAGGGGCGGTCCCTAGTTCCACTGCCAGTGTCCCTAGCTCCTCTACCAGTGTGTCCCTAGCTCCTCTACCAGTGTGTCCCTAGCTCCTCTACCAGTGTATCCCTAGCTCCTCTACCAGTGTGTCCCTAGCTCCTCTACCAGTATCCCTAGCTCCTCTACCAGTATCCCTAGCTCCTCTACCAGTGTCCATAGCTCCTCTACCAGAGGGTCAATTCCAGTAGAACTCAGAGCAGGTGAGGCTGAGCTGTGGGTCAATTTATAGTATAGGACATAATTGGATAAAGGTTATTTTGTGTTTTATGATATTTCAGACAAAACAAGATGATTTTCTTCTGTGACACTTTTAGCGTATTTTACCTATAACTGAGATATTGAGTTGAAAATCATAAAACTACTAGAAAATATCTAAGCGGTGGCAAAAACTGGCAGGATTTTTTTATATTTAAGGATAATTTCAGGAAAAAGCATTTCTTCTATGATGCTTTTCTCGCATTTTACCCATAACTGAGATATTGTGAGTTGAAAATTAGAAAACTACTAGAAAAGGTATGTACTGCATTTGTTACCACCTACTGAATCTCAAGAATTTTATATAATGCAAACAATATCTTGACAATTATAATAAATTTTTCTACTATGATGTTTCCTCGCAAAAGACCTAGAACCGAAATATTTAATATACCGGGGGCTCTGCCCCGGTTAAGAAGTTAGGTAAGGTGAGGTAGGTTGGTTAGAATAACTTAATTAGTAACATGTGGTTGATACGACAATAAACACTATTATTCGTACAGTGTATAGGTAATACTGGTGGAGATGGCGAACACCAGAGGGAGTGCATCGATTAAATTCATTTCCCGATGATTATAGTAAGTATTTTAAAAGAGGCAATAATGTTTTATTTTAATTATAAGTTTGTTTTTTCTATCTACGATCATAAATCATCAGTAGTGGGCAGGGCAAGAAGGATGAGGGAAACTGAGAGGTAAAACACAGTGAAAAACTGATTACAGGGGTATATGACACTAAAATGTCGTTTCTACCTGTTTTTAAGTGAAGAAATTACCTTATACATTTTCATTTGCTGCCACTAAATGAAATTTAAGTTTAAAGTGTGTTTTTCTGATGGTGTTTGATGTGTTATGATCAAATTTGACCTGTATTTCTGGCATAAATCAATAGTTTCTGAGATATGCCCCCCTATCTCAGAATCTTGAGATTTTCTATAAAAAATTTAGGTAAAAAGCATTCAAAACACATAAAAAACACAGGAAAAAAGTTTCGAATCTAACCTAACTTAACCAACCAATCTTACCCAAACCTAACCTTTCATTAGTACCAGATAGAGATATAAGTATAAGTTGTACTTTCTGGTTAATACGGCAAGGGGTCAGGTAGGTTTCTTTGGTTGGTTAGGGAGGGATGGATCCAGGAATATCAAAAAAGGTGAGGGGTCCAAGAAGTTGTGGGTGGGGAAACATAGCAAGCTGACCCTGCTGAGGGGTTTGGGGGACCCTGTAACCCCCCCCTGATATTTTTTTTTAATCTAACCAATGTCAGGGGCATTTTGAGGCCATTTTGAAGCCATGTGCACCTTATATTAAGAGATATTCTGAGGTCAAAACGATTGAGTACAACACTGCATTACAGAAAAAAGTATTGAAATTTTCTGATAAAAGGGGGATTCGGATCCTAGGAACCCCCCCGATTAGTTTAGGTTCTAATATATGCTAGCTAATGTTGCCTCTTTTAAAATACTTACTACTGTATAATGATACGAACATCTGTGGAAAAAATGAACATCAAATATCGTTCTGGTGGTAGTGCTGTTCTCTCACTTTACCCAAAATATTACCCAGAGCTAGCTTAAGGCTGAGAATATATGATCTGAATGAGGGTGGTCCCATGATATCATGCTTGCTTCTCATCACAGTGATCCAAGTTTGCATCTTACTTGGTTTGGATGTGAGAAGAATGTTGTTGTGCCCCTAAAGAACATCACACAGGTTACTTGATAAAACTTCAGTTTCGGTTATCCCTGTGCTTAGATATCCAAACGATGTTTTTCTGGCTGTTTTTGATGTATTTTGAATGATTTTGACCTTCATTTTTATAAAATAATCACTAGTTTTTTAGACCCCCCCCCCCCTTATTCAACGGTAATGGGAGACCCTCAGTGGGAACCCGGGGGTTTTGGGTGAGGTAAAATCACAAGAAATAGTGATTTCCAATAGATATGAAAGTCAAAATCACAAAAAAAAAATCAGAAAAACAGTTTGAATATCTGCCCTAGCCTAACCAAGGTTAATATTTAGAAGTTAACAACACCTACTTACATATTGAGTCTTATATAGGGAGAATGAGAAAAAATATAAGTTTATTCTATACCATTTGTTGGAAATTTATAATTTAAGAGTATTTTAAGCAATAAAATTACCTACAATATTAGTTGTCTGAAGTGGGGTAAAATATTTTAAATAACACCAAACAAACCTTTGAAAACCATACAAAAAATTTTATGAATCACTTTTGAATTTATGGATCCCTCCTCATCTGAGCACCAAACACAACACCAACATATACTAAAAACCGAAATAAACACCATCACATACTAAACACTGTGATAAAATTATATTTTGGTCATCCCTGGACTTAGATATCCAAACAAATCTAACTGAACCTAGCCAACCTATCTTAAATGTAACCTAACCTAACCATCCTAACCTATATCTAGACTAACCAGCCCCCTAAGATTTCCCAGATGACTGAAACTAAAATAATAGATATCATAATAGAACTTACTGACGAAAATATTATAAGAATATAAACAAACAAAGAGCATGTTGGCGGTGTAGTCATCAATATTAGCCGGATTTTGTCCTACATTCCTCTGAGGACACTGGTAGCTTAATATTTGGGTGCTATTATAGTAAGCGGTCTACTGAGCCAGAACCACTATGGCATGCAGTGTACCGAGCTGGAGTTGGTCTTCCGGGATATTTACAATATAGCATCCCCTTAGCTAACCTAAATTAGGTTTGGTTAAAAGAGATTAAGTTAGGTTAATAGACGCTACAATGTAAATATCCCAATAGACTAACTCCAGCTCAGTAGACTGCATACCATAGTACGGTAGCACCAATATTCGTTTAATGGCTGTAGCAAGATTTTTTCTTTTCTTTTTTTACTTATTCTGTGATAGTTCAAAAAAAAAATTGAATATATTTCTTTCTTTGGGCAAATTAGTATTAGGTTAGGTTAGGTTTCAACAGTGATTTTGAAGTTGAATTTGTTATGAGAATAGGGCCACTGCCATTATATGAATTTTTACCAACTGGTAACATCACCAATGAACTTTGAAGAATAATCCACTGCCTTCCCAACAATTGAGTTATTTCCTCAGAAATGCTATATAATAAAAGTATCTTAGAATTCTCTAAACCGGTGATGCCAATATTTAAATTCCTAAGATTCTCCGGATGACAGAAACCAAAATAAAACTGCATGGAAATATTTACGTAAACACGGCGTGCCTCTAAAGAACATCACACGTCACTCCACCGCCCTCCTGCACTAATACTAACCCACAGGGATTATTGGTCCTAACTGGAACTCTTGGGAGACGAGGTACTTACAACTCAAAAGCTATCAGCATTATTGCAGTTTTGGCCATTACAAGGGCGACTGTTTTACCATCCCCAACCTTTAGATCTCCTTATTTGAAGTATTGCTAACCCCATTTCAACCAGGGGGCCAAGAATAGAAATGTCAGGAATGATTTTAAAGTTTTTCCATATTTTGGGGAGATAACTCTAAAATGGGTGCTTCCCCCAGAAATAAAGGTCAAATTTTATTAAATCACATCAAAATACACAGGATAAACTAATTTCTAAACCAATAGGGCATACTGGCCAAAACTGCAATTTTACCAAGCTATCAATTGTGATACTTTTATTAACTAATCAAAATACTTACTTCAAACTCTGTCAAATATGTCCGTTAAGCTTTGTTGTAATGTGTGGTTAGCTTGAATACGTTTCTGTTGGGGTCACAGGTATAAATATGTCTATAAACCAGTTTTAGACATGTTACATCGGATCAGTATTGCAAGACTTGAAATAATAATTTACCCGGTAGGTAATAAGTTATACTGTATTTGGTTTACACAAAAAAATGGCAATGCTAATATTTCTGAAAATGAACAATAGCTCTACAGTCACTGATTAGATAAGACCGATATGAATCATATGATAACAGCCTACAGGGTGTTTGGAGAGGCTAATGCTTGAATACCGGTAATTTTGCTGACAATATGTGTTATGCATAATTTATGTAATCAAAAGAATAGATTGATTGAATCACTGTTTCAGTTTTTTAATGTTAAAATTATCTACAAATATATTGAGTGTATTGTAAATAATATTAAGTAGGCAACATTTATGGTTACCTATATGAGTATAACTAATAATACAATACAGTCATGTAACTTTTATCTTATTTTCCATCAAAAGCTAATCAAGTGGTGTTGTGACCTACTGCTTGTTGTGACACACTTTTATATTAATTGTATAGCTCATAAGTCAGTCATACTCCCATCATGTTATCCATTGTAGGGCTGAAGCCAAAGTTAGATGCAGGAGACCCTATTACTGTATAAGGCCATTGTCAAGGAGGGCGATAAAACATTCTCTTATGGACCATATTATTCCTCACATTCATGCTTAGTTTTCTGGCTACCATTATGGGGGACAATACTGTACAACTTGGAGGATTCTGATATTGTTGCAAACCCCAGCCACCAAAACACACACTGTACTGTCATGATTCTCTATTATGTCAAATAATGTGAAACTTGATTGAGTAAATTTTTTAATGAATTTTTTAACAAAACAATGACATCCTTCCCTAATTCTTATTCAGAAATGGAATTATCAGCGCTGCATACCACTATGGTATACAGTGTACCGAGCTGGAGTTGTGTCTATCCGGATATTTACAATATAGCATCCCCTTAGCTAACCTAAATTAGGTTAGGTTAATAGACGCTACAATGTAAATATCCCGGTAGACCAACTCCAGCTCGGTAGACTGCATACCATAGTAGCACCAATATCGTTTAATGGCTGCGGCAAGATTTTTGTTTTTGGTGGTTATTCTATGATAATTCTAAAAAAAAAAAAAAATGCGAATAGATTTCTTTCTGGGCAAATTAGTATTAAAGTTAGGTTAGGTTGGATTTCAACAGTGATTAAACAAATATTTACCAACACTAAAAAATGGCAATGGCAATATTTTTTTAAAATGAACAACAGCTCTACAATCACTGATCTAGAAGACCGAGATGATAACAGACGCATATGTCCGAGTCCAGTAAGTATACGTACTACAAATCCCCAATGAAGACGAAGCTACGAGGTGAGGTTCTCTGACTGAGTCTGGTTGACTGACTAGACTCTCACTGTCTCCCTCTTGTTGTGTTCCTAATCTTATACTTCCCGTTTGCCATTCAAGACCAAGGCCTCAAGACATTCAAGACCAAGGCCTCAAGACATTCAAGACCAAGGCCTCAAGACATTCAAGACCAAGGCCTCAAGACATTCAAGACCAAGGCCTCAAGACATTCAAGACCAAGGCCTCAAGACATTCAAGTCCAAGGCCTCAAGACATTCAAGACCAAGGCCTCAAGACATTCAAGACCAAGGCCTCAAGACATTCAAGACCAAGGCCTCAAGACATTCAAGACCAAGGCCTCAAGACATTCAAGACCAAGGCCTCAAGACATTCAAGACTCAAAAGTCAAAACACACTCCGCCAAATCAGCAAATTTTTTATCATTCTTCATGTTAGATTTTTTTATTATATTAGGTTTACTAATTTCATAATTCTAAACAAGTTTGCAAGAAACACACAAGTGAAGTATATACATTTTTACCGTTTCCTTTGTATAATTTCATATACAGTAATTAGTGATACTATGGTATGTGTTGGTCTTTGTTATGCTTACTGTGTATCTTTTGAACAGCGCGCCCCTAAATTTTATTTGTCAACATGTAAACGCCTACCTTAAACCCTTCTTTGTCCAAGGTATGCATAGAACGATAAGCATTTCTCACTCACAAGTCACAACGAGCTTCGGCGGTCGATCACACATCTGTCACGCACTGTTGAGAAGTATCCTAGGGAGTGTGTGGGGCAGTAGTCAGTTGTGTATCCTAGGGAGTGTGGGGCAGTAGTCAGTTGTATATCCTAGGGCGTGTGACTGTGGCAGTAGTCAGTTGTGTATCCTAGGGCGTGTGACTGTGGCAGTAGTCAGTTGTGTATCCTAGGGAGTGTGACTGTGGCAGTAGTCAGTTGTGTTCGTAAGACATCAACAACATTGGTTAACCTGTCTCATCTTTCGTACTGTACTGACTGCTGTTAACGTATTGTGTAAAATTAATAACGTGAAGGTAGACTTATAATGTGAGTAAAGCTGTTGCTGTTAAGTACACACAAGACTAATACAGATACTGTACTTGTAGTTGTGATATATAAACGCAGACCTAAAATATTGATAGTTGTATCATGTATCACATGACCACAGGCTAAGTGTAGCAACCATATAATATTTTTATCCTCTTCACCACTGATCGGCTCGTTAGCTAGAAAAGCTTAGGTGATAATTTTAGAGATCGTGAAAGAGAAAGGGCGAACCCTTGTGAGTACTGTATCTACATTTAAATTTTCAGATAGATGTGATACTTTAATCTTTAAAATGTCAGACCCCATAGGAAGGAGACACACTCTCTCTCTCTCTATATATATATATATAGGACTAACTATCATCTCACGTCCAGAAAATGCATTAAATTTCACCATACTATAGTAAGTTCTTTCTGTTTAATATACCGGGGAAGTTTAGTAAGGTTAGGTAGGTTTGTTTGGTTCGTTAGGTCTGTTCTTCATACCCACAAATGTTAAGTAGCGTTTATTTTCAAAATATCCATTTTTTAACTTATTTCCACAAACTACAAGTGTCCACTATAATATAACAATGAAATTCCAGCGTTTTTATAATTCTTTTCAACCAATTTTGCTCTCGGGTTAGTCCTATAGAATTATATATATATATATATATTATTATATATATATATATATATATATACACACACACACACACACACACATTATAGTCTTCATTTACGCAGTCAATTGAACTCGTGGAGGTCCGCGTAAAACGAGAAACGCGTAAACAAAACAACAGAACACATGGGATTAATTGAATTAGAGACTGGGCCGACCTCCAAACTACACTTTTTCTGACACAATACATACGTTGTAGTAAAATTAACATCTTAATTTTATGATGGTATTGTGGGGTTCAGGATATGTTTGGTTCACACTCAGGATGGAATGGAGAAAGGAAACTCACAATGTGCTCTCTATATACATGTTGTATTGGATGTACAATGCAGCTTGGTGCTGGGAAGGCAGCATGGTTACAAGCGTGATGTAGAGAGAGCTGGTTGGTGAGGACGCTCAGAGAAGGACAGCTTGTGGGTCGCCATGCTCGCCAGCGGGAGAGAGGACCGCCAGGCAGGCGGAGGAGCGAGGACCGCCAGGCAGGCGGAGGTGTTGCTGGCTGGTTGGTGTAGGTAGAAAGAGAGAGATCACCACAGGTCAGGTCTTAAATAGCGGGGGTAGGCGTGGCTTAGCAGTTGACCCCCGCTCCGTGATGTATGGCGGCGCTGGTTGACCTAGACCACGAGGCATACACTGGGGAATTGGTGGGGTCGGCTAGGCAGCGACAAACAGCGTTTGTAGGGGAGAATTCCACTACAGTATGCACACACAATTAATATTTAAGAGAAATAATAATATTAGGTTTTTTAACACTTACGTCAGTAGAAAAGATGGCTGGGCAGTGGGCACACGGTGAATGGGGGGTTGGTTCCGAGGCAGAGGGCAGATTATTGGCCCTCACCTGTATCACTTGTATCACTGTCCACCACAGAGGCTTGCAGGGCCTCTTTGTCAAACCCCTCAAAGTCCATATCATCACTATCGCTGACTTGGGCCGGCTGTGATGGTTGGCGGGTGAAGAACTCAGTAATGTTTTGTTGACTGGGCGACCTTGTGCGCACCCTGCCCGCGCCGCTTCCCGCGTAAATGATGGAATGAACCGTGTAAATAAAAATTGTCGGTCTGGCAAGGTGCCGCGTAAATGACCAAACGCGTAAATCGAGACTATACTGCATATAAAACTTCACAGCCGTTTCCCCCGTCTCCGTAACAGTAAGTTTGCCCACAACAATGGTTAGTTTTTTTGGAGTTTAAAGTTAGGTTAGTTTAGTTTAAGGTTTAGTCATCTTAACTTGAACTTTTAAATACACACTTTTGCCATAATTAAGAGTGTCCACCACATAAAACAGTGAAATTGAGGCATTTTTAAATTTGTTTTCCATGAAAAATCGGCGGCTGTGGTCATAAATAATTACCAATGTTATTTGCATGAAACTAAACAAGAAAATTGAAACAATGTACATTACCTAACCTAACCAACCTTACCAAATATTATGCATAAAGAACTTACATGTACTTTAATATCAGGTTATAATGAAAGCATTTTTCTTGAAGTGAAAATGTGTAATTTTATGTGTACTGAAACATGTTTCTTGTTCACCATCAGTTCTCTGCTGCATTATAAACACTTACACGTCTTGCCAACTACTTCTACTTGATGTTGACAGATGAACTCTTGGAGATGGTCATCCTCCACAAGCACAGAAAACTTGTGATATGACAAAGAACAACTCCCACAGGATGCCATAACTGTGTACTAGTTAAAATGCAAGATGGGGCATAGTTGCAATTTTGGCCAATACACAGCGGACTGTTTTAACCATCCTCAACCTTTAGATCTCCTTATTTGGAGTATTTCTAACCACATTTCAACCAGGGGGCAAAGAATAATAGTGTCAAAAATTAATTTTTAAGTTTTCCATATTTTAGGGGGGATAACTCTAAAACGGGTACTTTACCCTGGAAATAATGGTCAAATTCGATTAAATTACACCAAAATACAGCTCTCCCCGACTTATGACGGGGTTAGGGACCCAAATCCAGGTCGTAAGGTGAAATGGTCGTAAGTCGAAAATGCTTAAATATTACATAGAAAATCTAAAAGGTTGTCTCTTTTTCTTCTCGGCACCACAAAACTCTCACTTTTAAGCTTGCCAGCCATTTTAAAGTGAATTACAAACGAAAATTTTGTCTGTGTACTGACGTTGGGACTCGAAAATACGTAATTTGACAAAATTTTGGTACGACTGAGGCGGTCGTAAGTGAGGGTGGTCGTAAGTCGAGTAGGTCGTAAGTCGGGGAGGAGCTGTACACAGGATAAACTAATTTCTAAACTACTAGGGCATATTGGCCAAAACTGTAATTTTACCCAAGATGGTTAGCTCATCTCTTCTCTAGGGGAAGAACAATAATTATAGATACATACAGTTCACTTAGAATCCAATGATACAAATTTTTTTTTTTTAAATGTGTCCAAACCCATAATATAGGATTCAAATCCAACTACAGTATATGAATCTTATCCTTCATACATAGAATAGGTTAAAAAATCAAATGAGGGGGATTTGCACGGGCCATAAAAAATATAAATACAATTGAAAAAGACAACTAAGCCAATATAAGTGGTAATACTGGTACTGCAAAGGTTAATTATTGGTTTTAGTGACATTTGTGTTTTTTTACATAAAAACTGGCACATTGTTCCAAGAGTTCACAATTTTCACTGAAAAAGTTTTGCCCTCACCGTTTTCTGGATTTGTAGCTTCTTCAACCTTGAGCTGTGACCCCTTGTGGGGTGGGCATTTACCAGCTCCAGGTATGTACATTTGACCAAGTGTGCCCTGTGAGATGCTTATACACTTCGATTGGGTCACCCCTTAACCGTCTGTAGTATAAGCTCGGCAGTTGCTGGCGTTTTAATTTCTCTGGGTAGCTGAGGCTCTGTAGAGCTGGCACCAGTCTGGTGACCCTCCTTTGGACATTTTCAATCAATTCACAGTCTCTAGCATATCTCAGTGACCAATCTTAACATAATAAAAACCCCAGTGAGAGCCTTTGTCCTTACCTGTCAATGTTTATAAAGACTTGAATCACAAATCTATAGAGCAGATGCAAATATGCGATGCCATGAGAAAAATATCGGTGAAATATTTATGGTAAAATATCTATATATTCGTCTATAAAACACTTATGGACATGAAATTACTGCCATGTTTTTTTTTTTTTTTTACCCCATAATTTCCCTCATTTTTCATGCCCTTCCCACTACAGGTGATTTATGATCCAAGAGAAAATTTTAAATAAAATAAAATTAATGGAAAAAGTTATTTACTTACCTCATACAAACAACACGTGTGGAAAATGTGAACAAATTCCATAAGTAATTTCAACTGTTAATCGTCACCTCCGCTATCACCATGTAGAAAGTATCACGTTAAGGAATTGCTACTTTTTTATTTTTAGTTTTCCCTTGTTTTTATCATGTGAATACAGTGCATGCCTTTTGGTACGCAATGTTCACCTTCCTCCTCCTGTTAATATGTCCAGTAAAAGGTTGACCCTAACCAATCTACCTAATTTTACTTAAAATATTTAACAATAAAACTTCCAATCTTGGGTTGACAGGTTAGGCCAAGTAGATCTGGTGGTTTATCTTATCCACAATAAATTACAGGTACTTACATCAATGGAAACATCGGTGAACTAAAAAATTGCTAAGTCCTCATTAGTTTTTGGTAGATCATTATCATCATCATATAGATATATTTTAATTTTTTTAATTTAACAGAATCTTTATTGGATATTAAATGTTTTTTCTTGGCAAGCACATAAACAAATACAGTCAACCCTCACATTACGCGGTCCCGCATTCCGCGGTTCACCGTTAACGCGGTGCCCTGCCGGAACCTAACATGCTCACATTCCGCGGTCGTGAACCCCATTACGCGGAGAGCGGCTGGCAAGCCGCGCCATTTTTGGATCCAAACCTCCCGCCATCCGCCATGTTGTGTAAGAGGCGCGAAAATGGTGCGCACAAGGTCGCCCAGTCATCAAAACATTACCAGTTCTTCACCCGCCACCCACTACAGCCGGCCCAAGTCAGTGATAGTGATAATTATAGTGAGGATATGGACTTATATGAACTTTGGGGGGTTTGACAAAGAGGCCCTGCAAGCCTCTGTGGTGGATAGTGATACAATTGATACAAGTGATACAGGTGAGGGCCAATAATCTGCCCTCTGCCTCGGAACCAACCGCCCATCCCCGTGTGCCCAGCCATCTTTTCTACTAATGTAAGTGTTAAAAAACCTAATATTATTGATATTTCTCTTAATTATTAATTGTGTGTGCATGCCATCATAAAGTTAAGATATTTTTACTACAACATAGTTGTGTGTCGTCAAAAAGTGGAGTTTGGGGATCGGCCTGGACTCCATTTCAATTAATCCCATATGTTATGTTGTTCACTTTACGCGTTCCTCACTTTCCGCGGTACCCTCCGGGTTACATTAACCGCGTAATGTGAGACCCAACTGTAACAACAGCTTCTCTGATGGCTCATTTCATAGCTTAAAAGTGTGTTGGTGTAAACATCTGAAAGCCAAAAGTAGGAAAGCTACAATTCCCATACACATTTCCTTCTATTCCTGAGGTAAGAAAAAAAGTAATAATTAAAGAAAATTTCCCTGAAGTAGCACCTTATGAGTCACATACCTAAAGTATAATACTGTATACTGAGTTTATTAATATGGTGCAAAAATAACTCTCTTACCTGACCTAAAATCAAACCTACATTTTATGTGCACCCCAATTAATATTAACTTAATTTTGCAGGGTAAACATGCATGGAATAGGGCGAATTCCTGATGAAGTTGGTCATCTTATACTTAGTGAAGATGGAGCTGTAATTGCTGTAAGTTGGGCATTCAGACTTTGGGTGTATCTGGACATGGCAAGTACAATACAGCACAGTACAGTATTTCTTTATTGAGACAGTAGCAAATATTTTGCTATGTATAAGGCAAAACAAATAAATGAATGCAGTACATTATTTGGTTCCAATTCCTATTGTTTTACTGAGGTGCCATTACCAAATCATATTTCACACATATTATAATAAATGTATTGTATGATTAGTCTCTATTACAGACTTTCTTAATCTTTTACTTTGTGGAAAAATTATAAGAACAGGTATACAGTACAAAACCTTGAATTATGATAAGGATACATTCCTGTCATAAATTGTATCTTATTTATCTATTGATTGCCATTATAATCTAGGAGTTCAGTTTCTTGGGGAAAATCCATATCCAGCAGAATTTAAATATGTGCACACATAAAAATTGAAAATGCAATACAGTACTGTATACATGAACAACAATATTCATAACAGCAATGAATTATCATAATAATCCATCTTTCCAGTCTGGTGGGGAGCTAGAAAATGCTGAACAAATGGGTGCTACTGTGATGAGCCTGTTGTCATGTACCAGCAAGGCTCAGCTGTGGCCGGGTGACTCAGGAGATGCCTTCAAAAAGATATCAAGTATGTTAAACAAGTGCTTTAGGACTTGTATTACTAGGATATATATATATATATATATATATATATATATATATATATATATATATATATATATATATATATATATATATATATATATATATATATATATATATATATATATATATATATATATATATAATTTTTTTTATACGTACTGTACAATACCTTTTATTTTTTAATTGAGCTGTACATTATAGGGCATTCAAATATGTGGGGTCACTTTCTCTAACCCCTATTTCCTATTAGGCTCAGCTCTTGCCAACCTAGGGAGAATTCTATAATATAATCCCCACTGTTGTCTAGGGATTACTGTACAGTATGTAGCTTCACAAATTGAAGTCCCTGGATAAGCATGAGAAACCAGATTGCTAGAATGATTCAACTGTGTGTGTACCAATAGTTAGTGCTGTAGTGTATCATACGGGTTTGGTAATTTTGACTGATTGAAAAGGAACTTTTATTTGTGACTACAGGTTTCCATACATATCAAATGGTTTCTTTTCAGTTACATACACTGACCACAGCTACATCATCTGCCTCTCCAACAAGAATATCCATGTTGTCAAACGGAAATTCATTCCTCATGAACCCATCAGAGTGTAGTATTAAGGTGATAGTGTACAGATGTGAGATACAGTTCCATATCTTAAAACAAGCCATGCAATTTGCATAAAAGGATTTCAGAACTTTGTTTGCTTTGCAATCCAAGTTAAACGTGGAAATTAAATTCCTTTCAAATTTTATTGTTAATGACGTCTAGGACTCGGATCATTATATTCATACATCGATTATTATCTACAACTCTCTTTAGGTTTAAGAAAATATGTAACTAATTCAAGAAAGTACCTGAACATGGTAGTCAAAATGACTTAGATATTACACTTGTGACTACTTTAACCACTCAATCATGAGTTCTGGACGTCTTCCTATTTATCTTGGGTAGCATGTACAGTACTTTTACTTGGAAGTCCTATAGAAAAAATATACTTTACCAACAGTATTCATAAATGAACAATTCTGTTGAAAGTAAAACTATAATGTTTAGAAGATTGAGTTGTCTGCTTTCCTCAAATTGATTACATTCTTTTTCTTTCCAACAATCTTTTAATTGTCTTGTGTAAATTAATCTTGCGATATCCCATACTTTCAGGCAATTTCCATGTGTAGCAGTTTTAATTGTACTGAAATATATCTTATTTATTTTGATAGTATATTTATTTCATTATATCCTAGTACAAGTACTGTACAATAGTTCTTGATTTACAAAGATTAGGTTTACAAAATTCCAATTATGTAAATAAAATATTTGTCCCGGGTTTTGCATTACATAATACAGGTTGACAATCCCTTATCCGAAATCCTAGGGGCCAGAGGCATTTCTGATTTTGGATTTTTTTTTTTTTAAGCCCACCCGGGCATAGATCACTGACCCACATCGGGACCAGGGGGGCTGAAAATATAATAATAATTCATAGGTTTAGGTCGCATTTCTCACTTTTTATTCTTTTTTTTCATTCTTGTATTTATTATACAGTGACCCTCGGTTAACGAACTCAATCCGTTCCAGAAGGTCGTTCGTTAACCGAAACGTTCGTTAACCGAAACCATTGTTTCAATGGGTTTTTGGGTAATTGGTTCCAGCTCACCGAAAATTTCCTAAATTCAACAAAAATGGTAGAAAATTCACTTACTTTGAGGTGTGTATGTAGAAGGCTCCTGGATGATGATGATGATGATGGGAATTACAATGGGGGTGGAGGAGAAGGAAGAAGAGAAGGCATTGGGGTGGAAGAGAAGTCACCCCATGGCACCATTTCACCCATAAAATTTTAGTTCTCTTGGTGTATTTCAAGATTATTTTCTTTAAATCAACACTGTACTGCATTATATATTGTCAATATGTAAAATATATTTCAAAATGACCAATAATTTGCTTGGAAACACAGAAAAAAGCGTTTAGTTGAAGAGAGTCTCAAGCAAGATGTTACCTCCAGTGAAAACAGAGAGACTAACGCCTGTTTGCTGTGTTAAGAGGCTGGATGCTGCGCTTTAAACTAGTCACTTTACCTTCAATTATGTTCAATAATTGTTAAAATGACTAAAAAATTGAATATTAAACTTTTAAAATTATTGAATAGTATAAACTTCTTGATATTTACTAAAATAGTTAGGAATTTAAGCCCTAGAACCGATTAATGTATTGGTGGACTGATACTAAAGCTGGTTGCCCGGCCAGTGCAAGCGAAAACATGTTGAGGTCGGTTCGTAAGAAATTCGTTAACCGAATTTTTGTTCGTTAACCGAATTGAAGATCCTTATGGAAGGCAGTTCGTTAACCGAAATTTCGTTAACTTAAGTTAAACGAGGGTCACTGTAATTATTTTATTACAGTATTATTGTTATTATTAATTTTATTATTACAGAGAGTTCTGCTATAACGCGTGTTTTGATAACTCGAATTTGCTCTAACGCGATTTATGAATTAGGAACGATATTTGTATAATGCGATTTTTGCTTACTATTTCTCCAATTTTGTGGTATTAATTGTGAATATGGTAAAGAAGAATATCTACAAGAAGCTTTCTGGTGATAGAATTCCCGGTGATGATCGTAAAAGAAAGGATATAACACTTGAAGAGAAGCTCGATGTTATCAACCTCAAAATCACCCTTCTACCCCATCAAGTTACATTCATATTTTTTCAAGGTAAAGTGTTACATTTACTGTATGATTTCATTATTAGATATGAATGTAACATTTATTTAGACTGTGTTAGGCTAACTACTAAATTTTTTCGATTTCGAGTAATCTGCACCTAACCCTATTTTCTCCATAAGCCGTTATTTCTATTACGCGATTTTCTATAACACGATATTTTACAATAACACAATTATCGCGTTATAGCAGAACTACCTGTACTGTTATTATTATTGTTATCAATATTATTTTATTTTGGTGTACAGTATTTTAATTAAAAATTTAATTTCTATGAATAATTATTATAATTATTATTACCATTACATTTTCGCCCACCAGGCCCCGATGTGAGTCAGTGATTTATGCCCGGGTGGGCTAATCCGTTAAAAAAAAAAAAAGCCCCACAAAAAACTTTCGGAATTTCGGATAAAAGGTTGTCAACCTGTACAGGTAATCCGAAGTTGCAATTTCTTTTTTTCTTAAATTTTTCAGATCGGAAAAAAGAAAAGCTGCTAAGATGCTAGCTGTCACAGACATCTCAGGATTTCCCATACTGAACTTAGCTTATAAAGACAAAGTAAAACCAATACACAGTATTGTACTGTATTGTATTATGAGTGTTTAACTTAGCTAAAAATAAATTACAAGTACAGGTACTGTACATGTAATGTTTTAGTTACGGCTCACAGGATTGCTTGTAAAGCAGTGGCAAGATGCTCACTCAAGATAATTTGTTGGAATGCTGATGTGTTTAGTATTCCAGAGTTTGAGCTGATGTCAGTGGAAAGAATAAAATATTAAAATTTTAAGTTTTGCATTTCATCTTCAGCTAAAACCTCATCTTAAATACAAATCAGTAAATGCAAAACACATCAAAATGTAAACAGCCACTTCTCGATTTACACAATACAGTAGATGTGTTCTTGAAAATGGTTACATAAATAAAAAATGCATAAAATATATATATATATATATATATATATATATGGAAAAAGGTGGGGGTTGGGGTAATTTTCTCTTATACACATTACTTCCTACATTAGTCAAGCTTATACAGTATTACCCCGCCTAACGCGGTTTCACTTAGCGCGTTACGCGGTGCCTCGCCAGAGCAACTTTCACTTAACACGGATTTTTTCCACATATATGCGGTGAGTGTCCGGCTCGAGACCTATTTTTAGATTTGCCCACCCGCCACCCTGCCTGACTGCCTGTTTTAGCTCATAAAATTCATACAAATTACCCGGCCAGAATATAATTTACATTGCTGGAATTCTTACAATATGATGATCATTTTGAATATAAACATCATAGATTTTGCATTAGACATACAAATTTTAGATATAATGTTTATTCTGAGTAAATATGTTATTTTTTGTGCAAAATATATGACATTTGTATTCAAAATATTCCTGGTCTTACAAGGAATCCAGCAATGTCAATTATATTATCCTAACTTTAGTTTGAGGTATTATTTATTACTAAAAAGGTAAATATTCTGGTTTTCCCACACATCTCCTTGGGACGGTTGGTGGGGGGTGGGGGGGAGGGAGGGACCGACCGACCATCTGTTACCCTGTGAAGAATATATTTTTTTTTTTATTAACTGAAGATATTTGTTTTAGCTCATAAAATTCATACAAATTACCCGGTCAGAATATAATTTACATTGCTGGAATTCTTATAATTTGATGATCATTTTGAATATAAACATCATAGATTTTGCATTAGACATACAAATTTTAGATAAAATGTTTACTCTGAGTAGATATGTTCTCTTTTGTGCAAAATATATGACATTTATATTCAAAATATTCCTGGTCTTACAAGGAATCCAGCAATGTCAATTATATTATCCTAACTTTAATCTGAGGTATTATTTAATACAAAATGTTAAAATTTATTTTTTTCACCCAACCTTTCTCTTGAAGGGAGGATTGGTGGGGGGTGGGAGGGTTGGGACTGACCGCGCGGTTGGAAGAGGGGGGAGGCAAGGTGGGGTACTTTGATTGACAGATAGTGTCGTGAAGAATATTTTTTTTTTATTAACTGAAGATATTTGTTTTAGCTCATAAAATTCATACAAATTACCCGGCCAGAATATAATTTACATTGCTGGAATTCTTACATTTGGTGATCATTTTGAATATAAACATCATATATTTTGCATTAGACATACAAATTTTAGATAAAATGTTTTCTCTGAGTAAATATGTTATCTTTTGTGCAAAATATATGACATTTATATTCAAAATATTCCTGGTCTTACAAGGAATCCAGCAATGTCAATTGTATTATCCTAACTTTAGTTTGAGGTATTATTTATTAAAATTTAGTGGTTTTCCCAAAAAAATTTCTCAGAGAGGGAAGAGCCAGCAGTGTAGTGTGAGAAGAGGGGGAGGGAGTTGAGTCCATTATTTGAATGGACATTAACTTGGCGACTGTATTTCTCTATTTCTCTTAAGTATTAATTGTGTGCATGTACCATCATAAAATTAAGATGTTATTTTTACTACGACATAGTTATGTGTCATCAAAAAGTGGAGTTTGGGGGTCGGGCTGGTTTCTATTGGAATTAATCCCATATGTTATGTTGTTCACTTAACACGGTTTTCACTTAACGCGGTACCCTCTGGGTTTTATTGACCGTGTTAAGTGGGGTACAACTGTACAGGTTGACAATCCCTTATCCAAAATCCATGAGGCCAAACGTGTTTCAAATTTTTTCTTATTTCAGAATAGTTATGTATATAATTTTTTTTTATTTTTTTTTTACAGGGATCAGCCCACCCGGGCACAGGTCACTGACCTTAGTAAACATACTCCCCCCCAAATTAAAACCTTAATTTCCAATTTATGTACAGTATGTATTCTGCTTCCCCATAACTTTTTTTTAGCCCTTTAACCACTATCATTATCTAAAGATGATTTATGGCAAAAGCATCACCGTGTCTTAAGACAGTTGGCATCATGAATTTAAAGCTGTCTGCCAAAAATAATACTAAGTATGGAAAGTTGAGGTTTGGTAGACAAAGAAAAGACTAGTAGGGCCTTTGAATCAGCTTGCTGTCATCATCTTGGAATGATTTGGAATTCTCTATCTCATTACCCTGCTCCTGTCCTCACCACAGCCTGGCTCATCATCTATGCAACAGCTTATCACCCACTATCACCCACTTTGCACAACCACACTCAGCAGTTGCCCGTTTAACTCTGCCTCACTGCACTCAACTCACCACCCATGATGAGTACAAAGTTTTTATAGCTAATTTTATATCAAAATGCTGCTTTGGATTAATTAATATACTGTACAGTACTACTGTATACAGGGTATAGGTATTTTTCAATATTGTATCTTTGATAAAAAAAAATCAAATACCTGCACTGTGTGGAGGGGGGGGGGGGTTGCATTCAAAGAAACTACTGTACAGTTTTTCCAGTAAACAAATGACATGAAATTGTCTGGAAATGTGCATATGCAACAGTAAACACAGTCAACATTTAGGTAATGTTAAGTCATCTTACCAAATCAGGGGGCTTATACAAGAGGAAAACCATACAACTGTCCCCTAGAACATGCTCACACATAACAAATGTCTTCCCAAAGATGCAATAAAATTAAGAACAGTATACAAGTGCAGTCCAGACAGTGAATAAGGCATCAACAACCACAGAAAGCACAATATACCAGCGTGATACCAAATAGATCTATCACCAACCCCTCAACCACCATAGACGAACACATACACACATTACAAATGGCACAGATAGTCATTCACCGATGGTCCTAAAAATAGGTTCGAGACGATGTGGCAACGTCATAACAGAGGACAGACACCTCAATAAAAATACATTTCCGTACATTATATGCAGATTCACATGAAATGAAGTTCAACTACAACCATAGCTGCTACAAGATTCTCACATCAAATTTTCTCATTAAATTTACAAACATTTGGAAACTTCTGACCTAAAATAATGAATTGTTTATGATAAAAATGCTACCTTTGGTTTGTTAAATATTTATCCAAAGCGATCCACCAATCACAGTACAGTATTGCCAGGTAAAATTGCGAGCACGAGACCCAGGGTTGGGTCAGTGCATCTTTGGTTGACTGAACAGTGTAGTTTTAAACATCAATGATGAGCTGTCACTATGCAACTGTAGTTGCAAGCCAATGTAATTCCTTTTATACAACAGTTGCCTCATGTTTAGTTGAGAAATGGCCAATAGCTTCAAACAATTAGTGTGGGATCAGAAGCCTTTAAATCCCACCACAGAAAGAAAGGTATCACTCCAGATAGTATTGAAATCAATGCAGAGCGAACTTTGTTCTAAATGAGTTAGATAAACTGGACCCCTGCAAGCGCACAGGTATTGATCGCATCCCAGCCAGGCTTTTGAGGGATGGTGCCACAATATGAAAGACCCCAATAACATATCTGATTAATCTCTCCATTAGCACCAATTCTGTACCAGATAAGTACAAGTTTGTCTGAGCAACACCTATCTACTAGAAAGGCAACAGGTGTGACAGAGGCTTACAGGCCAGTCAGTATACAGTTATGTATCTAAAATTCTAGTGCTGTGTACATTGTTGGAAAGTTATCTTTGGGAGTAAATGTATATTTGTACAGGATTAAGGGTCCATCTCTTATCAGATCCCAAACAGCTCTGAGAAATTACACACGTATGGAAACACTTGACTTGTGATAAGCCTTTACACACAGTTTACCATGATACAGGTACAGTGTGTGATAAACTGCAGGCTCTTGGCATTGTCTCTGCTGACTGATTAAATCAAATCTTGGCAACAGGAAGCAAATTATTGTTGCAAATAACAGTCAACATCCATGCCAATAGCCTGCAAGTCCCACAATGAAGTATCCTAGGACCTTTGCCCTTCCTGTGTTACATAAATGACATGCCCATTCGTGTCAATTTTAAACTTTTGCTGTATGCCAATGACTGCACTCTTTTTTTAGTGCCTAGTAAAGATCTATGATATAACTAGTTATCTTTAGTCTTGCACAGTGGTTCAAATAAATTATCCCAAAATCTTGCAAAGGCTGAAGCAATATTACTTGGATAAAAAAGAACGCTCAAAATGGTAAAAGAATTCATTGTACTATCTGGAAATGAACCCATCTCTACTGTAACCTTGGAATAACTCTTGCCTCATTTGTCCAGTGAACTAATCATAAATATACAGTAGTTAAAAAAGTACTGCAAAATCCAAGCTACAATTTATTTAAAACAAGGTGGTGAGATTCATTCTTGGCACGAATGCAAGAGTTCAAGTTTGTCACCAAGTTCTTCAATCACTTAACATGTTACAGTAAATGTGACAGTGAAGCTGAATCATGCTTATGGATTTTCAACAGACTGGGCCCAGAGTATAACACCAAATTTTGCAAGGATTACGGATATGAACCAGCAGGAAAATAGAGTGAGTGAATACAATTTTATGGTACAGTAGTTGTGGAAATGTTTCTCTACGCCCACTGTGGTAACACGTGCCTCCAAACAGCAGTGTCGCAGTAGTACTATCACTATTTATGAATGAATGAATGAGTATTGATCGTGTAACAATGGACGGGATTGGTAGATAGGTTTGCTATAGGTCAGCCATTAGGAGACCGGTTACCACGGGTGTCTGCGATGAAGTCCCTCGGAGTTCCTGCACACGAGCTCCTCAGTGTTTACACAACATTCATACTTCCCAAGCTCACCTATGCCTCCCCCACCTGGTCTTCCTCCCTAAATGCCACACAACGTAAACACCTAGAAAAAGTGCAAAAGAGGGCATGCAAGATTATTCTCTCCCCTTCCTACTCCACATATCAAGAAGCGCTCAACACACTGACCCTTTCGACTCTCACTGACCATCACCACGACCTCACCTGCAAATTTGGTAAGAAGCTTCTACACCATCCTCGACACCGGCTCCTACTACCACCTGAGATCCCTAGTCCGAGAATTGCTGTTCAAAACCACAACCGCATCCAGCCCATACGTGCACGAACTGATCGCTATAAGAACAGCCCAGTCCCAACCATTGTAAAAATTATCAATAACTTTTAATAAACCAGTGTATTCACTCCCAGTAAACACTACTCCTTGCACTGTCACTATGTTGAAATGAACTGTAGTTTGAGCTTTTCCCCATCTAGTTATTATATGTCTTATTTGTGTCACTTATGTTACTTGTATATTATTTGTAATTCGAAACCCATTCCCCAAATATGTAACTGTATATTTTCAGCCTTCTGGCTGCCAAGCTCTCTCAATAAACCATTAATTATTATTATTATTATTATTAAGTTAAAAACACTTTTTCCTTTACTGCTATAGCAGACTGGAACCAGGCAGATCACATGAAAACCAGCCATGTTATTAAGCAATTGAAAGTTAAAACAAATACATAACAGATGAAGCTCCAGCAAGAGGTTTCTATATTAAACTTTAGAATGTAGAACTGCAATATTGATTTGCTGGTTTGAATTCTATCAAATAAACTTTCACCAATATTGCTGTAGACATACTATTACCGAATAGAAACCAAACGTAATCCTAAGCAAATGCCCCCCCCCCCCCGGAAATAAGCACCCGACAGCTTTGTCCAATATCCTTACCAGTTACCCGCACAGTAAACTGTACTACCATGGCCTACTTGCACTGTACACACATAGTCTATTTTCATGCTGCACTTTCAGTGGTTAGCCATTACCATAACCTTAGTGTCATGCCAATATTATTATGCAATCTGTTAATGCATTAACGTCTTTTTTTTTAAAGAGTATATTGGGGAAATACCATTAGATTCCCTTGCACTTTTCAGTATAACTTTTAGTGGATACTTTAACATTACAGTTTTAGTGGAATCCTAATTACTGACCAACTTTGTAAATAAAAACCTCACTAAAAATGCATATAAATTTATTGTACGAAATAAGTCCGATATACAAAATATACAACTAAAAATTATACAATCATTATGTTAATTAAAATAATACTGTACTATACAGAACAAAAACAACTAAATGGGGTTTCCTGCACTTTCACTTGTCATTCACGTCGACTTCAAAATCAGAACTATCCGTTAAAACAATACTGTACTGCATAAAAATACCTGAAGTTTTTTCTTCCACTTCTCATTCTTGACAACTTATAATCAGTATCATTTTAAGTAATACTGTACTGTACTGTACAAAAACTAAATTAAGTCTTTTCTTGAATTTCCATTTCTCATTCAGGTAGACTTAGAAATCCGCATCCAAAGTGAAACAGCGCTCTTCTTTAGAGTTCATCACACCACATTTTTGATATTCCCCAACTCTCTTTTCAAAGAAGTTGGTTTTTCCTTCCAAAGAGATATTTTCCATAAAGTCAAAAGGGTTTCCTACATTATACAACTTCTCACAGTTTAGCTCAACAAGAAGTCGGTCAGCAACAAATTCAATATATTGTCGCATTAGCATGCAGTTCATGCCAATGAGGTTCACTGGAAGGGCATCTGTTAGAAACTCCTGCTCAATTTTCACAGCATCATCAATGATGGATTGTACGTGTTCTTCACTTGGCTTGTTCACCAGGTGCTTAAACATCAAACAGGCAAAGTCTGTGTGTAGACCTTCATCCCTCGAGATCAATTCATTACTGAAGGTCAGTCCTGGCATCAAACCACGCTTTTTAATCCAAAAAATAGCAGCAAATGAACCACTGAAGAAAATACCTTCAACAGCTGCAAAGGCAATGATCCGTTCAGCAAATGTTGCAGTGTTGTGGGATATCCACCTCAGAGCCCAATTAGCCTTTTTCTTAACACATGGCAAGGTCTCTATGGCATTGAATAATTTGTTCTGTTCCATTGGATCATCTATGTAGGCATTTATGAGAAGACTGTACATCTCGCTATGAACATTTTCAATAGCAATCTGGAAACCATAAAAACATCTTGCTTCCGTTACTTGCACTTCCTGACAAAATCGCTCTACAAGGTTTTCATTAACGATGCCATCAGAAGCAGCAAAGAATGCAAGGATATGAGAAATGAAGTGGCGTTCCCCATCCTTAAGTTTATTAATCCAGTCACTATGATCCTGAAATGTAAAATCCGACCTTTAGTGTTTAAGCAAGCGTCTATTTATAACTTGGCAGCAATAAAAAAAATTTGGGGAATACCCAAGTTAGCATAACAAGGTCCTTACATTTACACAGACATCCTCAGTGTTATAGCACAGCTGGGTTTTTTTTATTTAAAATTTACAGTCGAAAGAAAAGGTCCGAGCCAAAACCCAACATTAATACATAATCTTTTAGCATGATTTTTAAACTTAAAGTTCACCCAAAATCTGAAAATGGGTATAGTACTTAATATACTGATCAGGGATAGTCTTAAAGCTAGAATTTGGATTGCCAATCTTTCTCATACTCGTTAATAACTCATACATTTTATAAGATTTTTTTTGTGTCCGAATTACAATAAACCCAATAAATTTTCAGCAATAGCAAACAAAAAACCTAGTCCAAATCCAGTTTCTCTTTAAAAGAAGGTAGGTTTTCTTGTTGCCACCAAGCAAATTTATGGTGTTTGGAACATTTATTGTGGTTTTGCATTAAATACTTCATCTTAGAAAACTGGTACAGTACAGCATATGTACCAGAATAAATATACAGTAAGCATACACAAAAAGACCAACAGTACAAAGCTATGAAATAAACATTTTAGTTATAAACCACTAACACTGAACCCGCCACTTTTTTCTTTAATTTTCCATTAAAAACAGACTGTAGTCATATTACTAATAACTAGTTTAGGAAAAATATATATAAATTAACGTGCACTTAAAAATAATTACTGTATTAAATTTTTTTTATCTCCAATTATAGTGGAAATCAACAGGATAAGCTTCAAGTCAGACATCTTCTCAGGAATGCTGTACTGTATAACCATTCCATAAATCAATGGATGCCCCATAGCCTTTAGTAAATGCATATCTACTGGACCTAGTTGGTTTGTCACAATTTAAGAATCAACATATAGGAGGAATCGCATTTTGAAACATTCAACAAAATATGCACTGCACTGTATTAACATGTCAGATCACGCCACCGGTTAAATTTTATTGTGTGTGTGTGTGTGTGTGTGTGTGTGTGGGGGAGGGGGGGATCAAGTGCTGGGACAAATTTACAAGTATCCTATTATTATTTCTTTTCTTTTACAAAGGTGCCCCCCACCATCTCTGTCTTATGGCCATTTTCTGTGCTTGCACAAGTCTGCCTTATATGTTGTCCTAATTGCAAGTACTGTATAGCAAATTTTACAGTTTTATGACCTTTCTATCACCAAGTGCAAAGCAGATAGGAAATTTCAGTTTGCAGCTCATTAACATTATATTAAAATTTTCTCATGTCTTCCACCTGATACAATTATCATTGCCAATCCTCTCCCCCAGTATTTATGAACCCAGAGCATTGAAGCAAGATGCCAAAGCACCCACAAATTAAGAGAAACTTCTGGAATGGCCCTAAGGAACCCTACCATAGTAATTACACTAAATGAACATTCCACCTACTGTATATCTTTGATTGCAAGCATTTCATGCAGTTATAATTTATAATACAGTACAGGTTACAAATTAAAATGTCATGGACTACCTGTTAGCTACTAGTGAGTGGGATTGCGACAATATTGTGACATTCGGAAAGGGAGGGGTCGGGTTGGGGGGTTGTCCTCTTTGCTAGATGCACCAACATACAGTACAGCCATGTTTAGTAATGAATCCCATCTACAAGTGCCGATATTTTAAATGTGGTTTTAGATAACATTGTACTGAAATTAAATGTTATTGTATCCAGCCTTTTTTTACATGGACAACATTCCTCCCCCCCTTTTAACTTTGTCTAATCTATGGCATTTATCAATATACCCAATTTCAAATTTTCCCCAAAGAAACAAGGAAAATCATGCCAACAGGCCAATCAGTGGCAAAGAAGGTAAAGTAATCACAGCTAACCCAAACAAGCATGACAATTGGCTATAAAACTGATGAAATATCAATACAGTATATCTCAATTTCTCATCACTAATCCCCAAACAGCAAAATTCAAATTTACCCTTATTTAAGGTAATTTATGACAACTGCTACCACAGATATTACAGTAAGTATTTTAAGAGACAAATTTTATTTTAAATACACCTGTACTGTACAAATATTTTAGACCATAAATCCTCGGTAGTTAGCAGGGCACGAAGGAAATTTCAGGGCAAAGCATGTTCAAGACACTAAAACAAGGTGTACATGCTCTATATACGAAGAAATTTATTTACCCCAAATACCCATGAAAATCTGCCAAGTCAGCGCACATTGCTGTCTGCTCCATTTGTCCACAGCTGACCCACTCGGTCCGAGCGCGGAATTTTTTTTTAAATTACACTATGGCACTACAACAAACTTGCTTTCATTGGTAACAAGTAAATATTTTGTTAAATATGGTGAGGGTCTGCCCAATTAGGAAGTTATGTAAATTTCTTTGGTTGGTTGGATCAGGTTCCAGTTAATGTAGCTTCTTAAAATCCTTATTATAATAAGATGTGGGGAAAAAAAATTATATATATATATATATATATATATATATATATATATATATATATATATATATATATATATATATATATATATATATATATATATATATATATATATATATATATATATATATATTAAAAAAATTAAAAGTCAAACAACTTCTGGGGGTAGCAGTTTTCATACATTATCATACTTAGTCCCTATCCAGATGAAGACTTACCTTTGACAAGTCAACCTCATCTGTAGTCCAGAAAGATGCAAGAGCTTTCTTGTACATTTTGAAGATATCTGGATACTGGATGGGCAAAATGACAAAACGACCTGGGTTCTCTCTCAGAAGAGGCTCCGATTCCTTATCAATAGCAACTACCTGGAATATTAAAGAAAGGTGTAAAATTCCTAATGCAAGTTTTTGGTACATTTCAGACCATAGAGACTGGTACTAAATGCCAATGTAATGCATCTATGCTAGTTTGAAATTCTAAACTAATATAGTTAAAAAATGTTTAAAGCAAATTAAATTAAGCCAGAAGCAGTTCAGTTTCAAATCATACCAAACACTAAACTATCACTTTACATTGAAGATAAGAATTAAATACATATGTAAAACAGTCTGTATATCCTACAGTATGAGGCTATTACTGTATACACTGCAAATATTTGTTACAAGAGTTCATGCACAGGTAAGCGTGCACACCAAAAACATGTGCAACATATTAAACTACATACAGAATTTTCACTCTCGGCTTTTAGCCAGTTACAGCTTGCTTAAAAGGAATCAAACTACAGTAATTGACGAAGTGAAAAACTACTTTTTTTTTGTAATTGTGGGCTTTCCCCATACTGAACTGGGGCACCAATGAACCAGTAGTTTTTGGAATTTACCCAGGTATGTAATTAACTGTTCTTGTGCACATCCACACAATTAGTCAACTAATACTGTACTGAAGAAAACTTTACCTTCAGCGGAGAACATAGTGAATGAATTGCTTTGTTGCTAATATTTCCTCGAGTCTTCTGGTAATTATTCCAGAAACGAAAGCATACAATTTAGGTAGGAATCAAAATATTTTAATAGTTTTTCATGCCAAATACAGTGGAGATTGTGAAAAGTTGGGGGAAATGCATAATTATTCCATTATGAACCTCCCTACCCAGCCAATTTTCACCCCACCAAAGGTACCAAAGGTGGAAAGGGTTTCAAAGCAAACATAAATGTGGGGTGAAAACAACTAAAAGAACCAAACCTAGTTGCTGTACTACCAAAATCTGGGCTAGATAATCCTATTTCGGGGGCCCACAAACCGGTGTTTGCAGAATAATATCCATTCTTCCTACACATTATCTACTGCACAGTTGCCCCCCTTTTGCTTCAAGTGTTATCCAAAACGCTTCCAGCAACTGTTTGTCTCATATTGGAGATGTACCAATTAGAGCAAAAAAAAAAAGTACCGTACATCACCATTTGGTTATATTATACCATTTCATATTAGATTGAGCATACAATACAGAAATTGTTGCAAGCCTTTATATGACAACACTCGGCCAAAAAATGCTGAAAGAAGGATAGAGTATTCTGTGCTACTATAGCATGCAGTCTACAGAACAAAGATATCTTCAGTTTAACCTAACATGAGTATTTTGTAGACCACACACTATAGTAACCCCAATTAGTCGCAAGAAGAACCGAGGATAATAAATTATAAAATATGGGTAATGAATTTAAGGTTTTCTGAAGGTAAAAAATAAGCTTTCTTTACTTCGATATTGGAAAAAAATCAGCCATTCTTAATACGGTACTGAAAAAGATCAAAATGGACCAAGATTAAAAATATTGTCTCGGTCATACACCTATTTGGATGTCTTTTGTTAAACCACAAAAACGATCAGAAAAAATTTAATTTCAACCTAGTCCTAAAATTCGCTGCATGACCAAAACTAACACTACCAATATACACCGGTCCGACTAATTACCCAAATGTAGCCAAATATAACCTGAATAAAGTCAAATAATGGTCCTAGATGAATAAATCGGGCTGTGAATCACTTCTCGATTATTATTTAGAGCCAAAGTCAAAAAAATTGGTAAACTTAATTTAATCTGAGTTGTGTTGTGTTAGGTTAGATTAGATTAGAACATAAGAATGGAGGAAACTGCAGCGGGCCTATTGGCCCATACTGGGCAGTCCCGTTTACACCCAACCCCTATTGCTCATATGAGCATCCAACCTATGTTTGAAGCAATTCAGCGTATTCGAGTTAATGATATTTGGTAACTTGTTCCATTCATCCACTACTCTGTTTCCAAACCAGTGTTTACCTATTTCACGCCTAAATCTAAATTTGTCCAATTTAAAACCATTGTTACGAGTTTGCTCCTGGTTGGATAATTTGAGTACCTTTGTAATGTCCCCTTTGTTTAGCCCTGCCTTCCACTTATACACCTCTATCAGGTCGCCCCTCGCTCTAGGTCTCTCAAGGGAGTGCAGATTAAGATGCTTTAACCTGTCTCTATACTCAAGGTTCCTAATGCCCGGGATTAGTCTTGTCATTCTCCTCTGAATTCTTTCCAAGGATTCTATATCCATTCTGTAATACGGTGACCAGAACTGAACTGCGTAATCCAGGTGTGGTCTCACAAGAGCAAGATACAGTTTTAGGATGACCTCGCTAGTCTTGTAACTAACACTCCTTTGTATGAACCCAAGTACTTTATTAGCCTTGTTACGAGCAAAAACACATTGTTTACTTGGCTTAAGGTTCCTACTTATCATTACTCCTAAATCTCTCTCGCAGATTAGATTAGGTTAGGTACATGCACTTGATCTATGAACTCCGATTAAATTAAGTTTACCAATTTTTTGTGACTTCGTGACACCAAATACTAGTCGAGAAGTGAGTAGCAGTCCGATTTATTCATCTAGGACCATTATTTGACTTCATTCCGGCTATATTTGGCTACATTTGGGTAATTAGTCGGACCCATATATACGGCTAGGAAATTAAACAGGTTTCTTTGGTTGGTTAGTTCTAGAGGTTTCCGACATTTGCTCAAATTTTTTTTCTTTTTTTTCAAGGAGTCGTTTAATAAAACATTATATATATATCCTTGTACAAACGAAGGGAACGTTAAAACGAATTTACCAAAGTCCTTTTGTTCATCAAGAAAGATTTCGGTACACAGGATAGGTTTAATAGGGTACAGTATTAACTTTCTTTACAACACATTTACTTTCTGGACCTAACACGTTGGATCTGGCGTTGGAACAATCATCACTGGTGGATATAGAAAAAACAGATTTTACAATGCACTAGCCCAAAGAACACGCCAAGCATTCTAACGCCTACCGGTACTCTACGTAGAGGTATCAATACATTAAAATGATTACTTACCCGGTCATTCTGCTGAGGGATATTGGCCTTAACGGGAGTGACAATCTTGTTTGCCTTGCGGTTTGAGTCCTGAAAAATAAACGCATAACGGTAACGCATTAGGACAAGACATACACAAGTAAATAGATTAATGCAAGAAGGCTAGGGCAGTAACTAAAGTGAATATACACGATTCAAATAACGTTCACATTACCTTATCCTTGAGGGTAACACTGTTGTCCCTTTCCGTGTGTACCTTATTTTCTTTGTCTTCATGAGCAACATTTGTCACTCTTTCATTAAGTACGTTGGTATAGGAAGGCATTTTCAATGTAGTATGCAGGTGCTTCAACTCCTATGTAAGTGCTCGTCAGTTCCCAATCTGATTGACTGAGGCCACAGACCATCCGCCGCAGACGAAAGGTCCTTAAATCTGGCGGGAAGCTCCAGCTGTTACTGTATTTTGACCAATCACAAGCCAGGAACCTGACGCTCTCACATAAATGTATTCTTCCGCGTACTATTATTCATACTTGGGGAAGATAAAAATATGTCAATAGGAAGATAAATTTGAAGAGTATTAAACAAATATATAAAAATAAATTATACAATTCACAGAATCAATGAATATTCAAATTTTTAGGATACTACTTTACGGATGGGTGTGTAAACATTTACTGGAATAACGCGCCAAACCGCCAAACGTTGTGTAACTTGTTGCCAAATGTGCCTCTTAGTAACATTAAAACCATATCAAATAATTTGTTTGAATTTTTAAATAAAAACAATTAACATTTTTAATACATACCCTACAGTATTTACTTAAGTATTGAAAGCTTGTAACAAATATTTTCTAGAAGGCTCTTTCGTATCAGCAGATGTGGCAAAGTGGCGCGCCAAAATTTTGTATTTTTGTCTGTCATAACACACCGAGACAAAGAAAATTGGGCTTTGAGCATACTCATGAAAAGCACAACACAGGAAATAAAACATTTCCAATAATATCATGTCTGATCAACTCGACATCATTTGCGTTACTTGTCACAGGGAGGAAACTTATATTCGAATTTTCATGAATTTTGGTATGCAGGTACTTTGATACAACATTTCGGGTGGTAATGAGAATACCACCTACAATATCTTTATTTCCCATTGGCCTGACGAGATGATTATCCACTCCTGTTACTACAGGTTCAATTAACTATAGAGAAATTACTTTGGGGAAATTCAGCACAGTGCATCCAGGAAAAAGCCAAAAATTAAGAAAATGTGTACAAGAAATTAGATTAAGTCAAGTAATGTTTAAGGAAATTGTCAATAGTGTAATTTATTTTTCGGTACATTATCTAAATACTTTAATTAATCTAACGACTTGGACTAGAAGTGACCCCATCAATAAATTCCCGAATCTTTAATCTATGGCTCATCAAATCGGATGCCCCTGAATAAGGGGCCCCAACCCCTTACAATGAGTCGCGTGTCCCTCACGCGTGATAACCTCATGGCGTTTCATCTAACCCACACTCACATCGTCATCCTGCTTCTCTCTATCCTACCAGTTCTTACCTTATTTCACTCTATCTTAGCTGCCCTATACCCTGCTCTTCTCTTTCCTATCCGCCCTTGCCCTGTCCCCTGCAGCACCTCTCCCCAACATATCCCTATCCCACCCATCTATTCCGGCCCTCCCTCTTAATTAACCTACACAATTCACTTTGCCTCTCACTCACACCGGTCTCTTCAATATTTCCCAGAAAATAACGTAACTCGAGAATCAAATTTGAATATCAAAATAAAATTCCATCTGAGATACTATTATTTTAACTAAATATATTTTTTAATTCATAATACACACACACACACACACACACACACACACACACACATATCTATATATATATATATATATATATATATATATATATATATATATATATATATATATATATATATATATATATGCAAGTAAATCACTGTAGTTGTGATCTAGGTATATGCTGTCACGAAGTTATGCTTTCACTTCAGGGGTGAGTACAGTCTGTACTCACCCCTGAAGATGTGAATTACACGAAAGCGCTTGGGAGCTATCATATATATATATATATATATATATATATATATATATATATATATATATATATATATATTATATATATATATATATATATATATATAATATATAATATATATATAATATATATATATATATATATATATATATATATATATATATATATATTTAATATATATATATATATATATATATATATATATATATATATATATATATATATATATATATATATATATATATATATATATATATATATATATATATATATATATATATCTTAATTGTAATCAAAAGTTACATTCAATTTAATATTCACGTTAAGATAATTATTATGAAATACATTAATGTTCATTATTTCCTAATATTTTTGTACATTCCTCAATCCCTGCCCCAACGTCCACGGAAAATTACAAAACCGTTGTGGCGTCTGCAAGCTAGAACAGTTATCGAAGGTTATACAATTTGTAATTATAAACTTGCATACAGATAAAATTATAGCATAGTGAATTCATAAAGATATGTGTTGATGGATCAGAAAACAACTTTTACAACTTTAAATTTAGATAATACCTAGGCGTATGTTATTCACCCCACAGAAAACGTTTGAATTAAAAATTGGTATTTTACAGTAGTATCAGTTTGTATTAAGAAATCACTATATAGAATTAAGGGTGATAATTCACCTATATATTATTACAAAACAACAGAGTATGAAAAGAACCAGACTGTCGGTTTTAAGTGAAGTGACGTGGCTTCCTGTTTCGCCTCACATGATCACCTCTCGAGATGTTTAACTGGCAAGCTTGCACTTGTTTGCTGTGAGGTCTTTTGTTCAAGTTTCAACTCGCACTGGTTGGACCCAACACCCTCTCCTACTTACATGTTCTATTTTTTTTACTGTCTTTCTGTATATAATTGGTTTTTTTATTAATTTGTCCCCAGTTTAAGTTATTTATTTTCTTTCGTGCACCCTTAAAACAGAGCTCATTCTCATTTTGGTAATGTATGAGAACACCGCTACTGGAGTTGCTCGATTTCGCTAATTTTTCTACAGATGTTCTTATCATTATAGTAAGTATTTTAAGAGGCAAAATTTACCAGAACCTGACCTAACCAACTAAAGAAACCTACCAAACCTTACCTAACCTAGCCGGCAGGACCCCCCCTCCCCACCATATTAAACAGTACTGTACTTATATTAATATCAGGTACCAAAGAAAGTAACTTCGTTGAAGAGTCATCGTGTAAATTTACTTTTTTTTTTGTGGACGTGAGAGTACGTTCGGAAGAGTATTTACAGTAAATAATTAATTTCTTCACTAACAAAGCACATAAAGACATCATTTTAGTGTCATAAGATGAGTTTTTCACCGTGTTTTACCTCGCAAGTTCCCCATCCTCCACGCCTTGCCCGCTACAGGTGATTTATGATCGCTTATAGAGAAAAACTAAAAAATGATGTTAAAATTAAAATTAGATTTGTTGCATCTTTTAAAATAACATTCTATCAAATGTATCAAATGAAAACACGAGAAAAGATGGACCAATACAGTCAGATACCGGCGAGCTAACTGATCGACGGAGAAATGAGTAATTATCTGAATAAATATTTTTCAACAGTTTTCACTGAGGGCCAGAGCTGCCACCATTCTATGAGGGCCTCTGTGTGCCAGTAACAATTCATTTTACTCTCATACTTATTACCATTGGTAGCGTGACGAGAGGAGGCTCGTGGGTAGATGTAATGATAGTATCAAGCAATAGGGAAGAAATAACGGTAAATACTGTAGGTAAATAATAGACACAATTATACAAACACAAAATTTATTTAAACATGAATATGAAATTAGGAGAAAGAATTTATTTGTACCAACAGACGAAATCTAGTACTAGGCCCTCAGGCTCAACATACACACACCACAACTGGGTGGACATACTCAATAACACTTCCAACCCTATTGGGTGGACATACTCAATAACACACAACTCTTATAGTCACTTAGCACCATAGAGACCAGGGCAACTGCCACTACAACACTCAGTCGTCAGGAGTGATACTCAAGCAACAGCCATGGGGTCCAGCCACCATGGAGTACTTTCCGACGAACTCTGAAGATCCCAGTGGATTAATTCCACCACACAAATAGCCCTACTGAGTTAGACACTCATCCACCAATGATGGGGGCTGGTAGTGGTGTGTGTATGTTGAGCCTGAGGGCCTAGTACTAGATTTCGTCTGTTGGTACAAATAAATTCTTTCTCCTAATTTCATATTCATGTTTAAATAAATTTTGTATTTGTATAATTGTGTCTATTATTTACCTACAGTATTTACCGTTATTTCTTCCCTATTGCTTGATACTATCATTACATCTACCCACGAGCCTCCTCTCGTCACGCTACCAATGGTAATAAGTATGAGAGTAAAATGAATTGTTACTGGCACACAGAGGCTGTATTGGAAAACATTAATGTAAAAATAATTAAAATATACTGCTCTAAATGATCCTACATTAAAAGTTAACATGCGCCCAGCCTGCACCTCTCAAGGACACAGGCACAGCCCTACTATAGAGTAGCCAACACACTCGGTCAAGGCGACAAGATATCCCCCGTAATATTTACATAAATATCTTTACCCACATTTACCCCAGCAAAGTACCACATATGACGATACAAGTTGGGGGAAGGAAATCAACCGTTGGTCCATGTTTTCAAAATACAAAAGGCAGTCTCAATGAAACTTTGATAATCATGAACCACGGTGATTTGGCTCAATATGGGTTAATTTGGATCACTATAGGGTTATTAGATCACCGTGGGATCATTTGGATAACTATACTAAATTTTACTTAATTTACTTTGCTTTACCCTCTAATTTCGTCACTGATTGGCCTGTTCGCCGCTTAGGCGGTTGGTTGGCCACGTCTTTATTCTACAGTTGTTAAATAGTGCATGGGTATACTGTACACTGACTCCCAAAAATGTACTGTACCTGCTCCAGTGTTGGTCAAGTACGGTCTTGAATAAGTTCACACTTGGCGCCATTAAAACATTCTTGCAGATTGTTCCAAGAGTTCACAACTCTCACTCCCAAAAAAGTTTGCCCTGAAAGTTTTCTGAACTAGTGATTTCTGAACCCTCCTCTGTGATCTAGGGTCATTTGTGTTCCTTTGCGATTATTTGGGTCTGTGGGGATCATGTAGAATTTCTAAATCATTAAAAGCTCAATGTATTTTTTTACATGCTATCAAAGTCGAACGGTTCCAGAGATGTGTTCAGAATAAACTTTGCAAATAATAATAATAATAATAATAATAATAATAATAATAATAATAATAATAATAATAAAAGTTTTTTATGATCCTCTT